GTTACGTAAAGTCGGACGAAAACCCCGCGGACTGTGCCAGTCGTGGCTTAAATGTTTCGCAATTAACAACTCATCCTTTATGGTGGAAAGGACCATCCTGGCTTCAAAGTTTCATCGAGCAAGAGAAACAGTTATCTTACTCTACAGATTTAGAAACAAAAGACACCAAACAAGTGAATGTTCTAACGAATTTAGAAAATAATATCATAGAAAAATTGTTAACTAAATACAGCTCATTTATGAAGGTCGTTAGAATCACGGCATGGTTATTAAGATTATCATCGAAACAACGTATTAAGCAAAATTATCCAACACTACCTGAATTGACGCGTGCAAAAAATAAAATTATTACACATGTTCAATATGTACATTTATCAAAAGAAATAGATTGTATCAAGGAAGATAGCAAGATGCCATCTAATAGCAAAATATATCAATTAAATCCCTTTCTAGACAAGGATGACATTCTTCGAGTTGGAGGTCGACTGAGGAATGCTGCAATCAGCCTAGAACGCAAACACCCTATCATCATTCCGAACAACTGCAGACTATCAGAGCTTCTCATCGACCAGGCTCATATACTCTCCTTCCACGGTGGTGCTCGCCTGACGTCAGCTCTCTTGCGGCACAAATACTGGATCCTAGGAGGGAACAGGGCTGTAAAAAAGAAATTGCGTCTTTGTGTCACATGCCGCCGCCACAAACCTATCATGAATAATCAGTTAATGGGTGACTTACCTGCTTCTCGAACAACACCGTCGCGGCCCTTCTATCACACTGGGGTCGACTTAACTGGATTCGTGGATGTAAAATCTAGCAAGGGACGAGGAATCAAAAGTTCGAAAGGCTATATCGTAGTTTTTGTATGCATGGTCACCAAGGCTGTGCATCTAGAACTAGTGTCAGACTTAACTTCTTCAGCATTTTTATCAGCTCTTCGTAGAATGGCAGCAAGGCGAGGAGCCCCACGTCATCTGTATAGTGACAATGGGACAAATTTTGTGGGTTCTAGCAGAATACTCAAGCAGGAATACCTAGATTTGCAGACCACGTTAGACGATGAGTTCTTTACAGCTATCACAGAAATGGATATTGAATGGCATTTCAATGCGCCATCATGGCCGAGCGCAGGGGGCCTCTGGGAGGCCGCCGTCAAAAGTTTAAAACATCACATGAAAAGGGTTATTGGGGAACAAAAACTCACATTTGAGGAGTATTCGACATTGTTGGCTCAAGTCGAAGCTTGCTTAAATTCACGACCATTATGTGCTCTAACGGAAGATTGTGAAGATTTAGATTATTTAACCCCTTCTCATTTTCTAGCTAGTGGACCCACGTTAACTATCACAGAGACAGAGAAAGATCAGCGAACAAGATGGCAATTAACACAAAAAATATTTGAAGATATTTGGCGAAGATGGCAAAATGAATATTTGGGTCAACTCTCGGCTCGCAGCAAATGGTGCGAAGCCAAAGACAATGTCAAGATTGATGATATTGTAATAATACATGATGCAAACTTACCATCAGGTAAATGGGCCTTAGGGCGGATTGTAACGCTACACCCTGGAAAAGATGGATATGTGCGTGTCGTTACTCTCAAAACCAAGAACGGTTTAGTAAAGCGGCCCATAAACAAAATATCTCTCCTACCAACTAGTATAGACGACAAACCTTCAAAAAGTAGTAACAAACCGAAGTTAATCATTAGTAGTGCTACATTGACGGAAAATCAGCCTCAAAAAACTAACACTTGTAATCGAAAAAGTTTCTTACTATCAATATTTATATGGTTTATTTTAATAACTGCCACACCTGCTTTAGCTACACATCAGATATCAAGCCTCAATAATAATAAGGGTTTTTATTTTGACAAAATTGGTAACATGCGCTTGGAACAAGATCAGTGGAAATTAATAATTTATTATGATATGACTCCGTATTGGCAAGGCACAGATTTATTAAGTAAATATATAAAACACCTTGACGGTTTATGTTACAATCAAAACAATATAATGATAGCGCAATGTGACGTGATTCTTCTCCAATTACATCACGGGCTCACCGAGCTCGAGCACTACAATGGAATTCTGCTCGGACAGCAACTCACACGGCGCTCCGCGCGCACGCGACTACGCCGAGGTCTTATCAATGGGGTTGGCGCTATTGCTAATTCACTATTCGGCGTGCTCGATCAAAACTTCGCAGAACAGTATGAGAGAGATATACTGACAATCAGGGACAATCAGAAACATTTAGCACTGTTGTGGAGAAACCAAACATCAATTGTAGAATCAGAATTTAATTTAATTAAAAGAGTGGAAGTTTCAATAGATAAGCAGCACAAAAGTTTTAATCAGCATCTCAACGCTTTGGAAGTCGAAATCAATGAACAAAAGGTCGCACTTCAAAAAGGAATGAAGGCCAATGATTTTACCTTGTCAGCAGTTATTGCAAAAGGTGTATTATCAACGCTAAAAACTATTCAGGAGACGTTAGTCACTTCTATTACTGACATCTACCTCGGAAAATTCAATTTCCACCTCCTTACCCCTGATCAATTAAGAAGTGAATTAAATATCATAACTGGGCTGTTATCAAAAGATCTTACTCTGCCCTTGAATCATATTCAGTCCGATCTAACTAAGATGTATCACTTATTAACTGTAAAAGCGGGAGCCCTGAAGAATTTTATTATCTTCGAAGTAAACATACCTTTAGTAACTAGAGACAACTATGATATTTATAAGTTAATACCCATCCCACTTAAAGTCAATAACAGTATGATTCAGTTAATACCTATATCAAGTTACGTAACAATCAATATACGAAAGGATTCGTTTATACCTATGTTTGAAGAAGACAGACGAGAATGCACTAAATACGATAAAGATACATACATATGTCCACTAAAACAACCTGTGTATCAGATGAGATCAGTGGGCCAATCGCCTAACCAGATTGCTTTGGAAAACGCTATCGCTTACGATTTCATTTTGTTATTTCTAACCGCCGAAGGTTTTCAAATACCTCACGCTCATTTTCTTTAACATTGTTATTACCAATGCAAAAGAAAAAAAAAGAGTGCGAGGCATTTGAAAACCTCAGGCGGCTAGAAATAACAAAATGAAATCGTAAGCGATAGCGTTTTCCAAAGCAATCCAGTTAGGCGATTGGCCCCCAGATGAAAGTTTGTGCATTAAAAATAAATTATCCGATCAATGTGAGACCACGAATTCAACGTGTCGTAATATCTGGATGGATTTAAATAATATAAATACTTATTTATTTTTTTGTTGTGGTCAATGCACTGTCCGCGTCATATGCGAGACTCAAGTTACCGCCGAACAACTTATCATGGCTGGAATAATAACACTTAGCAACGATTGCATAATCAAAGGCGATAGCTTCACAGTATATCCGCATAAGAAATTTTCAAATACATTTGAACAAAAGGCCGATATCATAAAATTTGATATTCCACCTATCAACAATATCATGAATATAACTATCCATACACCTTCCATAGTGACTTCAGGCAATGTCACTAATCCTGATGACCTTGAGGAGATAGATCGGCAGATTCAAGATTTGAAAAACATCGGTTCCGAAGGTGTTCTGGCGGATCGAGTGTCTTATCATGACGTGCACCATTACGTTGCTATTTACGTAGTGGGTCTCGGCAGCGTCATAACTATGGCAGTGGTTATCTTTCGACGCCGCTGGCGCCGCCGGCCAGGGCGGGCGAGGGAAGAGCCCCAGCCCCATGGAGCACAGGCTAGCACCCCCGCTGGCCTCCCTCAAGAAACTGTTGAGTGTGTTAGTGATAGTGTGGTTCAGTGCGCGAATCAGTGTCGTAATGTAAATATTGAAATGAGCAATTTAAAAGTGAATGAAAGTTTAGATAAAAGAGTGAGTGTTAAACCGAGTTTATCCGCTCCGCGCGTTGTTGACTGTGCCTCGTCACCTATTTTTCATAGAGAATTTAGTTCACTGTAATTAATTCTAGAGAACATTGTTTTATCAATTTGTTATTATTTTTAAGAAAATATTGTTTTATCACCTTATAATCGCGTCACTCACTTACATCAAACCATTATCATCTCTCTCCCTATCTTTGGCCCGGGAGCATGTACGAGCAAGCGCGTACATTTTGCCCCGTCGGCATTTTACGCCACATGCATTTATTTAGGTTAATTATGAATCAGTTCGTCATCGGTCATTATTCGTACCACGCGTTCTCACAGTCATATCATTTTAGTTTCGTAATTATCAGTTTGTTATCAGTAATATATCATTTAAACATATCAAGACTTTCTCTTCTCTCTCTATATCATAAAAGGTGTACAAAACCCGTACAGTACACTTGCTCGTACAGTTTATTAATGATACTGTATTATATCTGTTAGTGACCCGGATCTCTTTGTAGTTTCAATTATTTGCTTTGGATTTCTTGATAAAATCTGTACGATGAACAAGCGTACATAATATTAACTATTTAGAATATCAGTACTTAATGAAACAGACAAAAATTATTTTAATGCAATATTGTTTTTGGTTTTCATTAGTATTGTCGTGACTCGTTATTAAACTAGAACCGGGTCCCCAGCAAAAGTTTTTTAAAAACATTCAACAAAAACTTATACACAAAACTTTGTTTATTATTCTGCCACAACCTTATTTAAACGCTGGAAGAAAGTGGTGGCATGGCTACACTTGCGATCAAAAGTTTCACTTATCGATAGAAAATATCGATATTTTCTATAATCGATCTTATCCTCATCATTTCGATGCACAGGGTTTTTGCAGCTGACCTTGACGTGTCCAATCAGAATGTAGCTTCCCTCCCCGCACGCCGCTGACTTTGGCCTTTTTTTATTTCAAACAAAATTTGAGTGATGCGGACTCTGGTGGTGCTCCATGCTTAGTCTACTCTTTATGTCCATGGATAAAACTATAGTCTCATGATAGTTAAGATCTCAATTTGTTTACTATCGCAGTCATTAGAACCGCTCCAATCGACGGGTGCGGGCGAGTGCGCAGCGACATTACTGGGCGCGTTACAATCGCGGCCGCAGCTCGCCGACCAACTGTTCCGCACGCTGCTGCCCTCCTTGCCGGCGCTGGCGCAACAACCTGCGCTGGTTGAGGTATAGTGCCAACGATATTAAAAAACTGACACTTTTCAAATTATAAGTATTTTTTTCGCATTTTTTTCAAGGAACTCTGCGGTAACTTGACTTTTCAATTTGTCTGCGCTTGACTGTGAACCAAGAAGTGCTTGAGTGGTGTTCAAGCACTTCTTGATTGGGACACATTTTGAGCGCACGTGGTGCATCTAGGGTATTTAATATCGTTCGCTTCTTTAAACTTCATGGTTGCTGTGACTGTGAAGTAAGTCGTGAGCGCAACAATGCGCAAGTTTCAGTTCAGAGACCAAATTTTGTATAGAAAAAGCTAGTTTGTTCTTACGTCCGATCCTGCTTAGTTTGCAATATGTGAGGGAGCTGTCAAAAATTCGTGCTTGAGCCACAGTAAAAACATGCCAGTTCCTACATAATTCCAGTACCCCTAGCACGAACCATTATCGAATTCGAATAGTTTACAAACCGAAATGTCAATGTCAAATTTTGTATGGAAACTTGAACAGCAGCGTCACAAAGTGCGTAATGAGAACTAAATATCAGTACACATTTGACATTGACATTTAGCACTCGCAAACTATTCGAATTCGATCATGGTTCGTGCTAGGGGTACAGATTTCGTTTACTGCACCGCGACATGCGCAAACTTCACAGCCGCCCATTAAGTTTGCGTTGCAGTATAAATAATTATTGATCACAATTGCATTCGTACGGTTTTCTCCAACATTTCGTACTTAAATTTTGCTGCACATAGTGCCTTTTGATTGAAATATTAAATCGTCCTTTATTTTACTATCAGAAAATGAGAACTCTTTCGATGCTGTCTATACTTTGCAATGTTTTATGACACTGACAATAATCTTAGGAGAAATAAATCGTGTAGTTCTTTAATTAAACAAAGAAAAATGCTTTTTGTTAAAAATATTGCATTAAGGAAACTAAATCTTACCCCCGATTCACGGAACGTTTGAGCCATCTTATAACACTAAAAACTCAGTACATTGAAATTAATTCATTCTTTATTATTATGGTTTATTTGTTATTTTCCAGCCAATGTTCCAGATCTTAAAACAAGCAGTGTCAAGTCTGGTGGACGATTGTAAACCACACATAGGTGACATTGCGCAACTGATGATAACTGGATTCGACCACAAACCATGCCCGGCGGGTTTGGATGTCGTTAAACTTGTAAGTAAATCACGGCTCTATACTTTACGACTTTACACTTCTATGATCGAAATATTAGTTTTTACACCATAATATGATGTTAAAACAGTACATTATACTGTTTAGTAGTGTCTTGATAAAAGATGTATGTGGGACAATCTCGAGTTTGATCTCTTCAAAAGTTTCTAGAACGTTATTTTCGACAAAACAAGATTTGCGACTGCTCGATATACCCTTGAATTCGATGTGTCATGACAATACACTGCCGGGGTCATAGTGACGGGTGGTCTGAAGCGCCAATCACTATTGTACCTATTTGTGCTATGGACGGACCTTAGCATAGTCAATCGTAAGTGATTCTTATTACCTCATCTAATAAAAACCCTCCCAGGGGACGAAAAACGAAAGTAATTAAAAATTGAATTCGATGTGTCGTGACAACACACTGCCGAGGTCATAGTGACGGGCGGTCTGAAGCGCCAATCACTATTGTACCTACTTGTGCTATGGACGGACCTTAGTTAGCATAGCTAATCGTAAGGAATTGTTATTACCTCATCTAATGAAAACCCTCTCAGACGACGAAAAAAGAAAGTAATTAAAATTTTAATTCGATGTGTCGTGACAACACACTGCCGAGGTCATAGTGACTGGCGGCCTGAAGCTCCGATCACTATTGTACCTATTTGTGCTATGGACGGACCTTAGTTAGCATAACTAATCGTAATGAATTCTTATTACCTCATCTAATGAAAACCCTCTCAGACGACGAAAAAAGGAAGTAATTAAAAAAGCAGTGAGGTACCTATATTATCTACTATTCGCTGGGTGCGCGATGACAGCGCCAACTAGCAGTTACAATCACGGCGGAATTTGAATGTCAAATGGCTGGCTGAAATTAGGAAGAAAATGTAAACAGACAAATAATATCAATTAAATATCGCAATTTACACAAATTATATTCGATCATGTAAATCGGTGTCAATAATAACGTTGACCTTTTGTATTTCTTGTCTAAAATGCCACAATCAATAAATTTCGCAATAACACATTTCATATATTATAGTTATTAACGGAAGTTTTACCATGTATACATGGTCAACATGCATTTGTGTTTATCATGTATACATCTACGAGGAGCTCGATGGCGCAAGTGGTTAGCGCGTTCGGCTGCGATCGTTGAACTTTAGCAACTTTCACAGTGGTCGGTCATTGGATGGGTGACCAAAAATTACTATCTCGAGCTCTTCCGTGCTTCAGAAGGGACGTTAAGCCGTTGGTCCCGGCTGTATCTGCAGTCGTTAGCACCCACCAATCCGCACTAAGCCCGCGTGGTGGGCCATGGCCCAATCTCCCTATTCCATTAATAGGGAAGGCCTGTGCCCCAGCAGCGGGGACATTAATAGGCTGATGATGATGATGATACATCTACTGTAGGGCCAATTACTTAGCCTTACAGTAGTCATTTGTCGCTTGAGTAATATACGAATTTTTTGGTCAGATAGTATTGGTGCTGGGTGGTGAATGGTCCGAATGCGGGCGATTAGTGCACGCGTGTGTGTGTCGCACCGCGCGAGCTGTGGCGCCCGACCCCACCGCCGCGCCTGAACTCACCGAGGCGCTGTTCTCTCTACTACACGCGCTAACCAAGAAGAAGCCACAACATCTAGACTGGATCGAGGACTTACTGCCCGAGCTCGTGGACTTGGGTGAGTGTGACGAATGATATGCACGCGGGCAGTGGCGCCCGACCTCACTGAGGCGCTGTTCTCCCTACTACACGCGCTAATCAAGAAGAAGCCACAACATCTAAGACTGGATAGAGGACTTGCTGCCCGAGCTCGTGGACTTGGGTGAGTGTGACGAATGATATGCATGCGGGCAGTGGCGCCCGACCTCACTGAGGCGCTGTTCTCTCTACTACACGCGCTAACCAAGAAGAAGCCACAACATCTAGACTGGATCGAGGACTTACTGCCCGAGCTCGTGGACTTGGGTGAGTGTGACGAATGATATGCACGCGGGCAGTGGCGCCCGACCTCACTGAGGCGCTGTTCTCCCTACTACACGCGCTAATCAAGAAGAAGCCACAACATCTAAGACTGGATAGAGGACTTGCTGCCCGAGCTCGTGGACTTGGGTGAGTGTGACGAATGATATGCATGCGGGCAGTGGCGCCCGACCTCACTGAGGCGCTGTTCTCTCTACTACACGCGCTAACCAAGAAGAAGCCACTACATCTAGACTGGATCGAGGACTTACTGCCCGAGCTCATGAACTTGGGTGAGTGTGACGAATGATATGCACGCGGGCAGTGGCGCCCGACCTCACTGAGGGGCTGTTCTCTCTACTACACGCGCTAACCAAGAAGAAGCCACTACATCTAGACTGGATCGAGGACTTACTGCCCGAACTCGTGGACTTGGGTGAGTGTGACGAATGATATGCACGCGGGCAGTGGCGCCCGACCTAACTGAAGCGCTGTTCTCCCTACTACACGCGCTAACCAAGAAGAAGCCACAACATCTAGACTGGATCGAGGACTTACTGCCCGAGCTCGTGGACTTGGGTGAGTGTGACGAATGATATGCACGCGGGCATTGGCGCCCGACCTCACTGAGGCGCTGTTCTCTCTACTACACGCGGTAACCAAGAAGAAGCAACAACATCTAGACTGGATCGAGGACTTACTGCTGGAACTCGTGGACTTGGGTGAGTGTGATGAATGATATGCACGCGGGCAGTGGCGCCCGATCTCACTGAGGCGCTATTCTCTCTACTACACGCGCTAACCAAGAAGAAGTCACAATATCTAGACTGGATCGAGAACTTACTGCCCGAACTCGTGGACTTAGATGAGTGTGAGTAATTATATCGACCCCTCTGGCCTCAATTGTCGTAAACGCCACTTTGGCCCAAAATGAGACAATAATGCAGTTTTGTTTAGTCTTTTTCGCTCTATCGATCTGTCTATTTCAACTTTATATAATATATATTTTGATAATATAGCCAAAAAAAGTGAAAATATATTTCGGTTTATTTTTGTGGTTTTGTTTTTGCTTCTCCTGTAAAAAGTCCGTTCAGCATTTAACTTGCTAGCATGAATGAATGGATGAATACTCTTTATTGCACTATTACACAAAGTACAAAAAACATAAAACACAGGAACGCAAACGAATCTCTACCAGGCAATCTTTTGGCATGATTCCAACCTAAGCTATATTTAGACCAAAAACCGCACTCTGTACAGCAACTGCTTTTTAACGAAACCACAAAAAACTTGTAACTTTGTGAGCTTTAAAAATATAATTACTTATATTTATTCTTACCAGCGGCCGCCCTCTACTATGTTTGCGTCATCTTTAGTTTTTTGAGCATCCCACAGGAACCCGTAATTTTTGCGGGATAAAAAGTATCCGTTATCACAATCCAGGTCATAAAATATATGCGTGCCAAATTTTAGCAAAATCCGTTCAGTAGTTTATGCGATATTTGACCTATGTCTTAGTATTTGCTAACCTTGTATCTCCGTATCAGGATGCACCTGCGTCCGCATGTGGGAGGCGAGCGCGGCCCGCTCCGCTTGTGGCTGGCTGTCATCACTGGCGGTCGCCGCGCCCCGCGCTCTGCAACAATCCGCGCCCGCGCTCACTGCTGCCGTACTGCGGTGTATAGGTGAGTCGGTAGGAGATCAGTGCCCCAAGCACGAATAACTAGCGAGAAACTATTCGTATTGTCTTGTCCAGGGGGTGTATTTTCCCTAGGGTTAAGAGGGCCATGGCCCGGAACGCCAGGCTGCGAGGCTTGGCTGCAAGAGCTGCGAAGGGCGGCAGAAGCCATATAAAGTCATTCGTGAGCAACCTAGATCTTCATTGGAATTATTGATGGGGAGGGTTGCTGCTCGAGGCGCCAGATTTTAAGATACGCCTCTGGTTATTTTGAAGTTTCAAAGCTAGTTTGTTCTTACGTCCGGTAGGGACGCTGCTTAGTTTCCATAGAAATTCACGTTGGCAATACGTATATGAATATGTCAAAGTTCGTCCTCGGGGTAGGTACAGATCAAAAACAAGAATGACGTAAAAAAACATTCAGGTCCAATATTTTTTTTTACAACTGCAAGAAATTGTTTTTGTTAATAGCGGCCGTACTATCGCGAAATTTTGCGCTCTGTCACTTGGCGAACAAAATGCTTTGAACGGTTTTCTATAGTAGTTTTTACTACGCCTTCGCGTCGGACGCGCCAATCCGGGCCGTCGTACAAAAGTAAGACAGAGAGCATTTCATTGTTGAATAATGAATTGCATTTGTTTTAGTTGCAATTTGTAATCCGCATCGTGATCGCGACAGCGCTATACGAAAAAGTAAGACAGCGATAATTACATGTCTATGAATGAATTTTTACTACGCCGCTACCGCAAGCGATTATGGCATTATGGGTGACAGAGCGGGTCCTTCCGCGAGTGTACATAGTGTCGTAGACTTACGCCCGAGGAGGCACTCGACGAATGTGTACAAACTTGCATTCATTTCCTGTGTATTGTTTGCTATAGAAGAGTTTCGCCCACAGTGGAGCCTATGCTTAATTATTTATTATTTATCAAGTATTTTCATTAAACCAATAATCCTCGCGAGGAAATAACAAAATAATTGGATATTGTTTCCAAAAACTGGATGACCGTATTCGCAGGTGGCGTTACTCCCCGGAGCCACATCGAGCCTCTAGCAGAGTTATTGTTGGCGTTGAACCGCGCACAATGGCCGCAAGGGACCGGCCTAGCGGAGTGGTTGCCTAGTGCGTTGTCTACAAGAGACTTTCCCACTCAACACGCCACTGACGCGCACAAACGGAAGTTCATCGCGGCCGTTATCAAGTACGTATATTATAGAATACTAGCTGACCCAGCGAACTTCGTACCGCCATAAAAAATAGGGGTTGGTGGTAGAAAGGTGAAAATTTAGGGTTGTATGTAATTTTGTATGATGTATCATAAAAAAATAAAAACAATAAAATTTATCGATAAAAAAAATTAAGGGTTAAATTAAATTAAATTAACCACCCTAAACATTTAGGGGGATGAAAAATAGACGTTGTCTGATTCTCAGACCTACTGAATATGCATATAAAATTTCACGAAAATCGGTCGAGCCGTTTCGGAGTAGTTCAATTACGCACACCGTGAAACGGATTTTATACATTAGATTTTACATGAACCGAGCCCAGTACTATTAGCACGAACCAATATCAAATTCGAATAGCTTGCGAGTCCGTAATGTCATTGTCTCATTTTGTATGGAAACTTGAACCGCAAAGCCACAACCGACGTACCAAAAATCAGTACACATATATATCGTATAAAATAGATCGGATTCAACTATTCGAATTTGATATGGTTCGTGCTAAGGGTATTACTAGTGCGTTGTCTACAAGGGACTTCCCCACTCAACTCGCCACTGACGCTCACAAATGGAAGTTGATCGTGTCCATTATCAAGTACATTTATTGTAGTGTAGCGGGTGCCCTCGACTTCGTCTATGACAGTACCCCAAGCACGAACTTTGGCAGCTCCGTATGGTATTTAGTTACCCATATAAACTTCAACCTCCCCTTTCACTCCCTTAAAGGATTTCTTCTGTGATCAAAACTATCCTATCCTACTATAGGATTATTTCTATCCCTTGGGACTAAACTATTTCTGCACCAAATTTCATCCAAATCGGTTTAGCGATTTCAGCATGTAGTGTATAATACAAATATACTTTTGCATGAATAATGTTAGTGTAGATTTCGATGGACCCCGATAAATATTTGTTGGTAAATGTCAATTTTAATTTAGAAACTATTTTGATAACTAACTGATTATCGAAATGTATATATTTTTTTATAATTTCAGAGAGAAGAGCAGCAAAAGGAGATTATTAGAACATGTCCAGGAATTCTCGTTGGTGTGTCGAGGGCTCATAGGTACAGAATACGCGCGACAAACGCTCGCTTCAAAGCAGCTAGTGACCTAAAGATACAGCACATTTGAGATATTAGTGATGGTAGGAAGTTTTTTAATGTGACCTATGTGTTTGCGACTGTTAATAGGAAAGAAATATGGTTCCTAATTTATCAAAAAATTAATTCCTTTATATGTGTTACTTTGTTTTTGAGTAGAGCAATTCTGACATGTTGAATAACTTTTCAGTTTTCATCTTTTAGAGCCTGCGCTGCGTTTAGACCGGACCGTGCTCCCGCTAAACGTAGCGGGAGCACGGTCCGGTCCGCGTGCAGTTTTTGTAATTTCATAGTACAGCGCCGCGCGGGAAACCAGCTTCACGCAACGCTGCTCTATAAAATAACATGAAACAAATTCGCGGAGCGAACTCTTGCTCCGTGCTCCCGCTTCACTTTACTGTTTACTTTGTTTTTAAGAAGAGCAATTCTGACATGATGAATAACTTTTCAGTGTTCGTCTTTTAGCGCCTGCACTGGGTTAAGCGGAAGCACGGAGCGGACCGCTCCGTACTCCCGCTTAACTATACTGTGTTTATTTTGTTTTTGAGAAGAGCAATTATGACATGTTGAATAAGTTTTCAGTGTCCGTCTTTTGGCCAGTTGCAATAGTCAAACTCCACACGAGATAGGCCTATTAGAGCTGTTGCCTATATATTTTTATTATTAAAAATATAATAAAAATTTTGTTAATTAAGGGAATCAGGTTATCCTTACCTTTTCAGACTTCTTTTTTTGTAACGCAGGCAAAACCTCTGTTTACATACGACGGCACCTTTAAGAGGCACACCGCCGAACGGACCTCACACCCTGCACCCGCAAACGTCACGGGCATGATGGGGCTAATCCCCAAAGTAACCCGCGCCATTTACGAGCATGCTTAACGGCGTACTATCCGCTAAAAATCCTGCGAAATACCCTCTAAGCTGCTTTGTGCGAAGTCGCGGGATCCCCGTTTAGGGATTCTTCCGCGTTTTACCTTTTTAAGACCTGGAAATTGATTATTGATACTGGCCATTAGAGACTGAAATCTCGATTTAAAACAAAAATCGACAAATACAAAGTTATTTGATTTACTGTAATAAAAAAAAGTTTTTCATACAACTCGTATCGATCTGATTTCAATGAATTCATATCGCTTCTATTATTTATCAATCAAATTTAAACTACTTTATAACAATGTAGTCTTATTAGATATTGTATATAGATGAACATACAAAACTTTTGTGTAAATATTACTAGGTACTAGTAAGTTATTATAAAAATATGAAATAAAAATAAACATGAAGAATATATTTTTGTCTTTGTTTATTTATAAAAGTACATTGAATATTATATAATAAGTATATTTACGATTTCAACAATGCATTCCTTATATAAAATATTTCTCAAGTAGATTTGGAAAGATCATATTTTACTATGACGTAGTCTCTTATGCAATTTACTTTGTACAAAACGAACGAAACACTTGTTTTATAGAAAACCCAGTTGTCGTGGAGCCTTACGTTCTAAATCACTACAAATGGCAGTGAATGACGAACAATTAATCTGTGCCAAATATGACACATATCTATTGCTTCTCGTCTAAATCGACGGTATTTTGATTAGGCGCCAGAACCATCCAGTAGACGGTTCACGTTATGTTTCTGATGATGGAAAAATATAAATCTGCTAACGGTTTGCATGGTGTGGGGTTAGACGTACAAAGGGATAGAAAATAGAAAAAAAAATCAAGCTCGTCAGACATTGAGGAGGGATGTAACGTGAACCCTCCAGAAGCTCCTAATCAAAGACTGACGATTTAGACGCAACCAAAAGTCACGGCCAATTGTTGATTTTTATTTTTTGCTGTCCTAGACGTTCGATCCTATATTAAGGGCTCAAGGTACTTCACAAGGTGAAAGGTTGCCCCCCTTATGTTATTCTGTCGCGTTTGGGTAAATCCCAAAATCCCCGCTTTAGCTCCTCTAGTACAAAGAATATAGTTTAAATTTATGATATTCACTGCAATTGCACACTGGTTCTTGTACAATATAAATATATGCCACACCGAAAGAGATCACCGACATATTTTTTCGTGTTACTTAATATTGCCCTACATTCGACAATGTTGATCTATCTAACAACCTTATGTAGAGTATCTCTGTTTTAATAATGAAAAATGATAGGTATATATTATACTGAAACGCATGTTGAAAGAGATTTACGAATTACTTTTTTTTATATTTTGTACAAGTTTTAAATAAAAAAAAAATCTATCTATCCTTTGTTCAGTTCATAGGGACCGAAAGAGAGGTTCTGTACTTAAGCGAGTGAGCAACAAAGTCGACTGTCGAATAAAACTTAAACTAAATAAAACTTATTATGTGCATAATTATATAAAATGATAAAATCTAGGTTAACTAAAAATATACAAGATTAACTCCACGACCAAAAATAAAGTAACTAAATGAACATATATACAATTGTCGTTTTACGTAATGCCGGCTCTCCACTTGGCTATTCGTGTTTGCTAATTGTAAACTTTGATGTCAAGTTCTGTCCTTTTCATTCCTTATAAAGCATGATAAGGTCAAACTGTTGTCAAAGTTTACACATAGCAAATACGAATAGCTAAGTGAAGTGCCGGCATAACAAACAAAGTGCGATTACACACTTTATGAACTTGTCAAGTCATCATATAACAGCGAAGGATAAGAAGAGAACAATCGAATTTTAAATCAAATTTAGAGTTATAAACACTATTCCTATACTTATATACAATAATTAAGATAAAATATTGTTAATGAAATTATAAAAACGATCAATAACTTTTACACAATGCGAGCGATATCACACGAATTTCTCTCTACGCATAATTCGCCTTCGATGTTGTTTAACAGCTGTCTGATGCTAGCACTGCACATGACTATTCGTATAAATTTGATATTTGTCATTTTGTGCAACAGTACATTCTTATCGCAAATTCTTTAGCCGGCATTACAGGAATATATATATATAGTTTTTTTTCGAAGTTCTCCAATTTTCGGCCTCTCCATCATTATTGTATTTTGATAATTTAAAACAAATAGTTGCATATATTTCGTTTTTATACCGACGGTATCAGCTGATTCGTCGTGTGACTCTGCGTTACAACCATAGAGGTATAAGAATAGAGTGGGGAAGGCGGCTCTTAAAAGTGTCTGTCTAGTAGAAAGAAAAAGATGAGAGACCGCTGGCTATCTCTCTCTCTCTCTCTCTCTTGTGACGCATTGCATCCAATGGTAAGTAAGATATTTATGGTTGCCAATGCGCATGCGCGATTAGAGAGAGAGAAAGCTAGCGGTCTAGTAGAAAGAAAAAGAAGATGAGAGACCGCTGGCTATCTCTCTCTCTCTTGTGACGCATGGCATCCAATGGTAAGTAAGATACTTATGGTTGCCAATGCGCATGCGCGATTAGAGATAGAGAAAGCTAGCGGTCTCATATTCTTTCTCTTTCTATTAGAGGGACACTTTCACTTGTAGTAGAGTCTATATCTCCCCTACTCTATTCTTATACCTCTATGGTTACAACGGTCGCACGGACTTCGGTCGGTATGCGACAAGTTCGATCGTGAATGGATTGGTCGAAGGTCGTGTCGCCGCCAGTGCGTTGAAATACTTATCGAACCGTGGTTCGATCTCCGGTCTGAGCCACTGTTTAACCGGGAATGGCCCCTTTAAACAATAAAAGTCGTGGGACGCCGCTCGCTCGCTCTAAGAGCATTAACAAACTTATTCTACTTAATTACTAAAAAACACAGATTAAAACAAAAAGGAAAGGCACTCACGGCTCAAAAGTGTACCGCACAATTCGCTTTATTCACAATTTCACATCCAAACACGGTGCATGTGCACTAAATATAACAATATTGCGTATATTCTGTGTTATACAGACAAAAAATATCCTTTGATGCTTTTAAAAAAAAATCGCAAATAGCAAGATCAATTAATAAATTCCACGGCAACACTTTTCGCCATTTCTTATCAAGAAAAGCACAACAATACAGCTCAGCCATCTGTAGAGAGAGAAAAGAAAACGCAGTTGGTTGCCAACGTACTCGCCGTTTCGCTCGCGATGCGATGAAGCGTACAGTTGATGACATTTCGCGCACGCTTACTATTCGAATTCGATATTGATTCGTTAGTAAAGTTCTAAAGGTACAGTTCTGTCTCGCTCGCTCGATTGAATATTTATTTACAGAAGTGTGCGTGTGTGAGAGTTGCTTATGTGGTTGAGGCAAAGTATCTTTTATTTGATGCTAGTATGAGCGTACCGTATCTTTCCTTTTTGTTATAATCTAAGCTGAAAAACAAATGAACAGGTACAGAATTTCACGTTCAACTTTCGTGCATGATTTCACAAAATTCCTCAATAAAATTAATATAAATTCATTGATCACATGATTAAGATCATCATAGTAGCTTCAACTACAACTTGTTTGAAAGCTATGAAGGAAGATAAACAAAATTATTATATGATAAACTTAGTGTCTCTATCATCTAAAATAAACTACAATTATATTTGCAATGTTTGTTAAACGGTCAAAGTGTGTGAAAAGATTTTTTTTATTTATTTAATAAACTCAAAAACGCTTCATAATATTTTAAGGACATACTGCTCAGAGAGAACACGACCAGCATGACACTTTTAACATGATTTTGATTCCACTGTATGATTTCATGGCGAAAGTCAAAAGAGTTAAACCTAATTATTTTTTATCTTACTATATAATATTTTAACTTTCAAATTATAAACAAGATCTTTTCAGGGAAAATTTGTTCGATACATGGTGTGATATAACTCCAAATTTTTAATGAAATTTCCAACATTATAATGCAAATTGGATAAAACAAGAACACTTTAAACATGGCTGAATGGAAAATCCTTTTTTTGTCTTTCCACTATATTTTATAATCACGAAATTTGACATAATATTTCTTATTGGTTAGTTTAATTTGTACGCAGATATTTATTTACTGCAACACCTCTTTTATGAGTGTACTCCATCGTCTCTTGAACTTGGTACGTCACGCCATTCGCACCGCCTTGGAGAGGCGTCGTTTTGCCAAGTTCGTTATGAACACTTAATCAGGAATCCGAGACGTCCCGAGTCTCCGTTTCGCTCTTAGGTAATACTTGTCTTGTCTTCCCAGTATATTAGTTTCAATTTTAAAATTTGACAATAATATTTCTTAGCGATTAGTTTAATTTGTACACAGATTGAATTCACTGCAACACCTCCTTTATAAGTGTACTCCATCGTCTCTTGAACTTGGTACGTCGCGCCATTCGCACCGCCTTGGCGAGGCGTCGTTTTACCAGGTTCGTTATGAACACGAATCAGGAATCCGAGTCGTCTCGTGTCTCCGCTTCGCTCTTAGTAATCTCTACATTGAAGTCCAGGAACTTGTCTGGCTCGCAATGCCTATTCTTGACTCTCAGGAAGTTCAGCGCCTGGTCTATGGTCAAATGAAAGCAATCTTGCCGGCTCACGTTCAACGAGCAACTCTCCAAGTCGCTGTGCGTCGCCCTGGCGTAGACTAGCTTTCTAGAGTTGTGTTGGCCTACAACAGACACCTGCGAAAAAACACGATTGTAGTAAGACTACGAATTTTTCAACAATCAAAATCAGCTTTTGACTTCTCTATTGAAATGTAACCCGTTTCTACGAAACCCAATTTTGATTTTTAAAACCTCGTATAACACAGCGTAGTGGTAGTGAAACGAAGTTTGACGGTTATATCTTAAAACTATGATAGTGCAGCAAAATCAGCAAATCTAATGGGTTTTTTTGCTCGATAAGACCATATCGTCGTTGCGACTTCAAGACCTCCTATGTGTCATTTTTGTCGAAATACCTTTTTTATACGGGTATGACTATAAACTCACTTTATTTTAATAAAACCACTACTTTAACCGAAACTATGTATTTTCCAACGAACTGACAACTAACAACAACGTAACTAGAGAAACGACGCCATTGAGGAGTTTTCAATACTTTGTAAATTTAACATCAACTATACCATGGAGTATGGTTATACAAAATATCTCATGCAAACATACGTTAAATATATAAACTTTAAAATATTTAAATAAATAGATAAATCAATTCCAACATCCTCCGCCGCCAAGGATATGCTTATCCTTGTGAATCTCAAACTTCAACCAGGAACACAGCTTAGAGACTTAGGATAAGTACGAATATCTGGTAAGTTACCCATGATTTGGTTACTATTTGCAGAATTTTATATCTCGACTTTTTTTCGTTGTCGATTTTTTTTTTATTATTTGATCACCATTAATAATCCAGTTTTTATTTTGCAGGTATGCAGTCATTAGTCGAGGACCTCCTTGCAGCGTTGCTTTATGCGCGTCATCCAACAAAAGTGTAACTAGTGGACAATCTTTGTTAAGTATTATTGGATATTTTCTTTATTGTTTCAGGTTTGCATGTTTTAAGCGCCCACCAACTCTCAGAACCTCATTCTCATCCAGGTAAGGATATAGTGGTAGTAACCGACTGTTTCTCTTAATATTTCTATTTTTTCTCAAACAATCTTTTTCTTCTGAAAAATCTATCTCTTGGGCTATCTTAATACATGATATAAGCGCCTCTTCTTTTTCATTAGTATCAATGGTTTTATGCAATATTTTTTCCTTTTTCAGTTTTCTCAACCATCGACGACAGTAAGCTATAACATTTAATAGTTTTTTAAGCGATGAATACTTCTTAATTAGTATAAGTTTATCATTTTCATTCTCTTTAATAACATTGGTAAGTATACATTTTACATTTGCTCGTTTCTCTATCTCTGTATCAGGAATAATTTCTTTACTCATCATAAAATCTGAATGTAACCATATTCTGGACCATGCCACCATAAATCACATTCTTTGAGTTTGCTAGGCAAAATTCCTCTTGATGCTGGATCTGCTGGATTCTCTTTGCTTTTAATGTAAAGCCACTGTGACTCTAAATTATTTCTTATTTCAATGACTCTATTTTTAACAAATGGTGACCATCTATTCGGATCGCCCTTTATCCATGCTAAAACCACTTTAGAATCTGTCCAAGCAAATGTTTTTCTATAACTTACTGCAAGTACTGCACATGCTTTAACAGCTTACTCAACAACGTGGCTGCACACAATTCAAGTCTTGGTAAAGACACTTGCTTGACAGGCGCCACCTTTGTTTTAGATATGATTAAACTGACTCTATAATCTCTGCCATGTTTGTTCAGTACTCTGATATAGACTACGGCAGCGTAGCCCACTTGAGATGCGTCTGAGAAGCCATGTAACTCTATCTCAGCTTCTGTACTAACATCCTGTCCATCTTGGAATTTGTATATCTTCGAGCACAGTTAAGTCTTCTTTATATTTATACCATTCTTTTTTCAGGTCATCAGAAAGTTCTTCATCCCAGTCAATCTTTCTGAGCCATAACTTTTGCATAAATATTTTACCTAATATTATCGAAGGAGAAATCCACCCCATCGGGTCAAATAGTGAAGCTATTTGGCGAAGTACGCTTCGCTTGGTAAGTCGTTGACAATTTTCGTGTTTCAGATATTTCTGTGCTATTTTCAAGATATCTTCTACTGGATTCCATAAAATACAATACATCGTCCATGTAAAAATCTTCACATACTAATTTCGATGCTATTGGATACTGCGCACCTTCATCTTTAGCTAGCTGTCTTAATGTTTTTATTGCTAAGTAAGGAGCAAAGGCAATGCCAAAAGTGACAGTAAGTAATTTATATGTTTTTACCTCTTCATTAAGATCAAATCTGTATAATATTCTTTGATAGTTTGTGTCCTTTTCAAAAACTCGTATCTGGCGATACATTTTTATGAGATCTCCTATAAAACAAATTTTATAAGTCCTCCTCAGCATCAAATACTACTCGCACCTTCGAAGTTTGTTTATCTTCCCTCACGACCGCGTGATGCGGTAAGTAGACTGTATCTTCCTCATTATTACATGTTACTAACTCCATATGATTTAAGGTTATATATTCTCGAAGTACCTTATCATATTCTCTCTTTAAATTCTCATTTGTACTCAATCTTTTCTCTAAGCACTTTAATCTTCTCATTGCTATGGCTTTCGAATTCTCAGGTAAGATTGGTACATCTCTTGCAAACGGTAAGGCGACAGTATATCTACCTTCTTTATCTCTTGCTACCGTTTTATCATAAATCTCTTCAGCTCTTTCTTCTTCTAAAGTTAATGCATTTTTATTCTTACTCTCAAATGATTCGCATTCCCAAAATCTTTGTAGCATGTTATCTAATGAAACACTCAAGTGCATGCTAATAATATGACCATTGCTTGGTATTCTTTCAACTGAATCACCACCAGAGATTATCCATTCGAAACTTGTTTGCTGGGCGATGGGTTCTCCTGGGTTTCTCTTAATAACTCCATTCATTAATATGTCTGCATACACATGTACACCAAGCAATAGATCTATCTCACTAGGCTCATGGAATGTTGGATCTGCGAGTTCTATATTTTTAAAGTGAGTCCATTGCTCATAGTTTATTTTTGCAGCTGGTATTATGTCTGTCACGTTCTTCACAACATAAGCAGTGCATTTTATTTTAAACTCTTTATTTACTCTCGATGACAACTGCAACTCCGCCGCATGATAGAACGGGGTTGATATTTGTCCCACTGCTGATACTTGTCCTTTTTTATCTATGCATCTTATTTGTAGTTTTTTTACAACTGATTCACTTATAAACGATTCTTCAGAGCAGGGATCTATTAGAGCTCGTACAATTTGCTGACTTCTGCCTGTCTCAATATGATCTAATGCAGTTGCTAATAATGACACTCGACCTCGCGTAGACAAAACATTCTGACTTATTGGTTGTTCGTCTATATTTCTCATTTCTCTCGTGGTACTATTAATCTCTAGTTCCGGTTTCTCTAAATGTAGTAGTATATTATGTTTCCGCTTACAAATATTACATCTTATTTTAACTCGACAAAATCTTACACTATGCCCAGGTCGCAAACAATTAAAACATAATCTCTCATTTTTTGCATACTCTGTTCTCTTTGTTGCATCTAGGTTAGCAAATTCTTTACAGTTACTTGTGTAATGATTTTGTTTACAGTATGAACATTTAATATTAGGTTCCGAATTTTCTTTAGTATTGTGATTCTTTGAAGTTGTGACAAATGACCTTGATTTGATAGTGTCTTTTTCTCTTGCATGTGAAGTTTGCATCATCTCTGTAACTCTAAATCTTCCTTCTAAAAATTTTGTAAATTTTTCTAAACTAGGCAGCTCTTCAACAGCTAAGTTTTGTAACTCTTCTTCCCACAACTTATGTGAACCTTGATCCAACTTATTTATAATGATGTAAATGATCAAAGGATCCCAATTATCAGTTTTAACATCATTATTTCTCAAACTGTTCAAACACTCATTTGTTGTGTCTAAGAGATCTTTTATTCCCTTCGCTGTTTCAGAATATAACTTTCTTTGGCCTAGTAATCTATTCAGGATTGAATTTACTATTATTCTATTATTATTGTATCTGTGGTGTAATGTAGACCACGCCGTTTCATAATTCTTCTCTGTGATTTGAATGTGCTTTAGAAGAAGCTCTGGTTCACCACTCACACTGCTTTTCAAATAATGTAATTTTTATACATTACTTAATGTCTTATTGTTATGAATTAATGATACATATAAATCTTTGAAAGTAACCCATTCATTATAATCTCCTTTGAAATTGGGTATATTAATCTTAGGCAATTTCACTTCCTGAGAATTCTTTTCCAATGGAATTTGCTGATCATTCTTCACATTTTTAAATTTCATACTATCTAACAACTCCGTCATATCTGACTTACTTAAAAGACACTCGTCTTCACATGTAGAATAGAAGTCATTTTCAAAGTACTCGTGTATCTGTCTTTGCTCGGATGTAGATTGTTTAACAATATCTCCATGTGTTTCACAAAAATCCTGCCAATGTTTATCCAAACTTTGTAATCTTACTTCAATATAACTCTTTGTCAATCTAGGTTTTGGCGATTTTTTGAAATTAGCTACAGCCTTTCGTATAAGTGCAAAGTTATTTTCCTGTAGTACTATAAGTTCTTGCATCATGTAATTGTTACTTTATTTTAAGAAAAAGTTAAATTTCAAATCGTCCAATATTTGGTGTTTTTAAACTACCATAATTTTTCATGTTTTTTCATAATAATGATTAAAAGTCTTTCAATCACTCAATTCAATATTAAATTATTATAATTCTTTTGTAAACACAGTTAATAAGTCTTTAGAAACACAAATACGGAAGATAATATTCTTATTTTTACGGTCTTACTCAATTCCAGTTTGAAATGTCAAACACCATCACTATCACAAATTATTTTTCTCACTACTAAATTTTCATCTTATTACTTAAACTTTCTTTTTTTCTATCTGGCTCGATTTGGACCAAATTGTAGACTATAAACTCACTTTATTTTAATAAAACCACTACTTTAACCGAAACTATGTATTTTCCAACGAACTGACAACTAACAACAACGTAATTAGAGAAACGACGACATTGAGGAGTTTTCAATGCTTTGTAAATTTAACATCAACTATACCATGGATTATGGTTATACAAAATATCTCATGCAAACATACGTTAAATATATAAACTTTAAAATATTTAAATAAATAGATAAATCAACTCCAACACGGGTTTATTTCAAATTTTGGCGCTACATCGAAAGCAAGAACTATAAGTCTTTTCAATTTCTATTTATTTACTTTATTCAATATATCTTAAATGCTTGCTCAAGTAAAGTTGGCATTTAAAATATCTTATGCGTAAAAGCGTTAGATAGGAAAAAATTGTTATTGGTCAAATTTTCAAACTAACTAACCAATAGAAGCACTGGAATGAGAGGGATGCATAGGTCGCGTGATTATTTTCCGATTGTAGGTGTTAGATGGGGGTAGAAATATAAAAATTACGTTAGCTTCGACGGGTTCTCACTCTGTGGTTATAACAGTCGATGTGCAAAGTGTATTGCTTGCTCCAAAGCTATTGGCAAGTGCCCTGTTCTATAAATTGAAGTTACAATGTCATAATTTCACTGTTTATGATGTTTTATCTAAAAATGTATCAATTTACTGCGGGCACAAAGCAGACGGTAATGTAACTGCTAATGAATTTACATCTTGCTTAATAGGCCATTGTTAAAATTTACCAACTACGATTGAGTGTATTATTATTTTTATGTTTGTAGAACAGAAACCGAATTACGTCGACTGCCCTAAGTTATTTGGCACAACAAAGGCAATTGAATATCGAACAACTCTATTTAGAGAAAGGGCATCAATTATCTGCTCCTTAGTCCGGGTGTCTTTGGGTATGCAGACGACAGCACAGTCTCGGAGAGATACCTGCCTGATGTGAAGTCTGATGCAGACGTCCGATCTTTAAGGGAGGCGATGGTGGAGGGAGTGAATGCAACCCTGGAAGCTGTTTCCCACTGGGGTGAAGCCAACTTGGTTGGAATCAATCCCTCTAAAACACAGGCCTGTCTCTTCTCGGCGAAACGGAGTCCATTCCATCTGACTCCGACTTTCCGAAATGTGTCGGTTACAGACCATCTCGAGCTCTTAGGTCTGGACATCTCATTCAGCCTCAATTTCGGTCGCTACATCGAGTCCATTGCTAAAACCGCTGCCAATAAACTTGGAATACTTTCTAAGGTCAGGCGATATTTTACATCTGAGTAGCTCCTTAACCTTTACCGAGCCCAAGTTCGCTTGGAGTACTGTTGTCACCTTTGGAATGGATCTGCTCGGTATCAGCTGGATGCACAGGACTCGGTGGAATACCATGAGAAGAGACTCATAGGCAATGACGCTCTCGTTGAGGCTAATCTCCAGAGCCTTGACCACCGAAAACGTGTAGCTTGCCTCTCGGTGTTTTATCGGTTACATTTCAGAGAGTGTGCGGAGGTACTACTCAATTTGATTCCCCCTTCCCCTTTCCACCACCGGAGGACCAGGCGCGGCGAGGGCTTTTACCCTTATGTTGTCCAAGTTCCTCCCATTCGCACGAAGCGATTTACCTCCGCTTTCATTATGCGAAGGGCTAGGGAGTGAAACTCCTTACCGAGGTCTGTTTTCCCGGACCAATATAATCTGGACATCTTCAAGGCCAGAGTGAACAGGCATCTTCTAGGCAGGCGTGTACCATCCTAGGCCTCATCATCGCTTTCCATCAGGCGAGATTTTGGTCAACGCCTTTCCTATTAAACATAAAAAAGGGCACACCATGATGGAGGTGGACAGTGTTCACTCCACTATTGAGCAATACATAAAACCACTATTATATACTATTGTCATTGCAATGATAAATTTTAAAAACAAATAACTTGTATAATTAAATGTCATGTGTTTTGAATCTCAATCCCTTTTACATACTTATATTCTCTAATGTGATACAAAACGCGCAACCAAAACCTCTTATGTGTCACATGGAATTGTCTTTTATTTTTTTACTACAATTTCGATTATTATTTAAAATGACAAGAGCAAAATAAAAATCATAAAACCCTCTATTTATCACTTGTATTTTTTGTTATATTTAGTTTCCTTATATTTTTTTCAGTAGACAGTTTTTATTGAATATCTCGCAATGAAGAATTTTACAGGTCTTAAAGTCGTAACGACGATATAAGATATAGATGTACCTCGTATATAAAGTTCTTGGCGTTGCACTTGGGCCCGATGTAGGTGACGTATACGATAACGCCCCACGTGCGAATGTCCACATCCACCCGTAGAGAGAAGTATTCGTGTAACGCGGCGATCACCCAAGTGTCGTGTTGTTCCGAGTTCACCTTCATAGAGAACTTGTGCTTGCGCCCGATCTTCAGCATCGGCATGTGCTTACTCTGTCATGGAAGTTACGTAAATTTCAGTATTATTTATAATTAAAAGGCAAGCAGTTACTGGTATCTATTTATGCAGGATTATTTTACCAAATTAAACATCACTATCTTCTTGTGTTACCTGCAAGTGTTGCGCCAGCTGGTCGCGCGGCAGGGGTGGGCACTCGGCGCAGGCAAGGGCGGGGCGGGGCGGGTACCTTCAAGTGTTGCGCAAGCTGGTCGCGCGGCAGGGGCGCGGCGGGACGGGTACCTGCAAGTGTTGCGCAAGTTGGTCGCGCGGCAGGGGCGGGGCGGGGCGGGTACCTGCAAGTGTTGCGCAAGCTGGTCGCGCGGCAGGGGCGGGGCGGGTACCTGCAAATGTTGCGCCAGCTGGTCACGCGGCAGGGGCGGGCGCTCGGCGCAGGCAGGGGCGGGGCAGGCATATCGTCGCGCCCCGCAGCTCGCCTCGTGCGCGTTTCGTCTACGCAGGCGCACCTCGCGCCCGCACATGTGCCGGCACGGGTAGCGCACCATCTCTGCCACCTATATACCATCAGACACTTTACGTGAGTTACAGAAATTCTACAGCAGAAGTAACAATGCACATAAACATGTTTTTTTAGTATTAAATTAACATTGAAGTAATAAATCATGCCTTACTATTGATTGAATAAACACTTATGAACATAAACTCTCAATTAAGATATTACAAGCTATTCAGATTTCTAAAGACGCATTAAACCCATCAATTCGTTGATATTCACTTGATAGTTAACAGTCCGTTTTCCTTGTAAAATTGGAGGACATAACATGTGCGTCTTAAGTAAAGAGCACATTAACAGTTTATTTATGTAATGAGTTGCACGCGGCCTCCAGTATACGGTGACATGGTATAATGTGCGAGTGTAAGTAACATTTTTAATTCTCGTTTCGCCCTTTGCTCCATCAATTGAAAATTGTTTGAATTTCTATAAATTTTTACTGTCATTTGACACGCATCGAGATCGAATTCGAATAGTTGAATCGAGATAGTAAATTTTTGATATTTATTACCTACCCTTAGGTAGGTATACAACCAAAAATTTACTATCTCCAGATCCTCCGAGTTTCGGAAGGTACGTTAAGCCCTTGGTCCCGAATGCATATGCAGTCATGTCCATAGGAAAGGCCTGTGCCCCAGCAGTGGCGTTACCATCCTTTTTGCTTGCCAATGCCAACGGCTGGCATTCAAGAGAATTAGATAATAAAATGAAAGTAATTTTAAACTAAAAGAACACAGTTGCTTTAGGTCTCTATTCGAGAGTCGGCATTCTTAAAACGGGGGTGGAAGTGAAAACATAGTATAATTATCATTGTTGTAACCTTCCAACATTAAAGAACAGTTACGATATGCCTTTGTTTTATTGTGAACGCCCCTGCCAACAAAGTTATGCTGCCCCGAACTCCCCTCTGGAGTCTCGTAGTTAGCACCCCCTCTATGGCGCGGTTGCGGACGGCCGAGAAGGTGGTGCCGCACACGGGGCAGGAGGAGAGGCGCGCGCGGCATCTGCCGCACACGAGGTGGCCAATCCGGCACTGCGACATGGGCGGCTCCATCCACTCCAGGCACACAGGGCACTCCAGCAGCCGCAGCAGCTATGTCTACATCCTATATGTAAGGCACGCACCCCCTCCATGGCGCGGTTGCGGACGGACGAGAAGGTGGTGCGGCACACGGGGCAGGAGGAGAGGCGCGCGCGGCACCTGCTGCACACGAGGTGGCCGCGCCGGCACTGCGACATGGGCGGCTCCATCCACTCCAGGCACACGGGGCACTCCAGCAGCCGCAGCAAGTTCTAATGCAAAAGATAATAGTTCTCTATGAGGTTCTTTGAATCCATAGATTGCACATACATACTGTCACAAACGCTCTCGAAACGTAACCGCGAAAGTGCCAGAGATTGAATTTGCCAGATCACCGCGGGTCGCGATAGAGGTCGAGTATTGCGGCTCATTCTAAAATGAGCCTTATGCTGTGCGGCGTAAGGGTGAAAGTGCAACGACATCTGCACTTGTTTACAAGTTATGCGTGTTACCTGCGTAGGTATAGGTAGGTATTTCATACTCGCGGGTGCTAGGTAATTCCCAATTTAACAGGTACTTTCTAGAATGCGTCGATCGGCGTATATAAGCGCGATTGGCGCCGCGCAGAGACAGTTGAGTTTCAACAGCGATTTCGGAGCGAATCCAAAGGCGATCTAAGTGCAACAAAAGTGTTCAAGTGAGTGTTTTGTAATTAACATTGTGTGAACTGTGTGGTGAATAAAGAACTGTCAAGCGTGAACTGGCATATAATTTCGAACCCCATTATATTATTACATTAGCACCTGTTTAAAGAGATTCACCAAATCACTGATCGAAATTAACGCTCAGTTTATAAGAATAAACTCCATAGACCTGCTCAAAAAATTGTCTAAAGCTACTTAAAATCATTTTTATTAAGTGCATAAAAATTGATAAAAAATTAACAGACACATTCAAAAAACAAACTTTTTCAATAAAAAAATACACTCAGAGATTAGCTTAGCCAAAAAATATTTTATAGTATCCAAAAGTACTTAAAATATAGGTAGGAATGTACTTGTTAATAAATTCAAATGGTACTTATACCTATAATATAAATGTGTATAAACCTGAAAAGGTAGGATCAAGTGTTACTATACTTTAGCATTAAGACATGTAATTTTATTTTACCATGTTCCGTACACAATAAAGATTATTTTAACGCCGTCCGACCGACTCAAACAAAGCTCACTATGCCAGAGCCCGTAACCACTGCAATTTGGTGTGTAGGGATGCCTTACGTCGCCATATCCATGTCTCAGTCGATAATAAAGATCCAGCAAAAGTCTGGAATTTTCTCAAGTCACTTGGAATTGGTAAGCCTCGAAAAGAATCCGTTCCCAGTAGCTTTGACGTCAACTCCTTAAACCTTCATTTCTCATCTTCTTCTGGTCTTAGTGATTCAGATAAAACTAATACTTTAAATTATCTTTCTTCCTTACCAGTTCCAGACTACTCTCCTTTTGTTTTTGCTCAATTCTCTGAATGTGACGTTAAGAAGAGCGTGCTTTCTATCTCATCCAATGCAGTGGGGAGTGACAGCATAAGTCGCAACATGTTAATACCAATCTTAGATATCATTCTCCCCGTTCTAACATTCCTTTTTAATAGCTCTATTTCTAATACTGTTTTTCCTTTAGCTTGGAAACAAGCACAAATTATTCCTTTGCCAAAGAAATGTAGCCCGCAATCCGTCGCTGATTTCCGCCCCATCTCCATTCTTCCCTTCCTATCGAAGGTACTTCAGCGCCTTGTTCTTAATCAGTTCAATATTTTCCTTTCTCGCCACGATCTCTTTAACCCTCTCCAATCCGGTTTCCGTCCGGGACACAGCACTACAACTACTTTACTTAAAGTCACAGATGACATACGTCTTGGGATGGACCGCGGTTTCCTTACGGTATTAACATTGTTGGACTTTAGCAATGCATTTAACACTGTCAACTTTGATATTCTTTTGGGATTGCTACGCTCACTTAACGTATCTCCATCGGCGATTGAGTGGTTTCACAGTTATTTGTATGGACGCAGGCAGCGTGTCCGCCTCGAGGACTCGTTTTCTTCATGGTGTGACACGTCTGCTGGCGTTCCTCAAGGCGGCGTCATATCTCCTCTTCTCTTCGCTGTATTGATTAATTCAATCTCTAATAATATTACTTCTTCCTACCACCTATACGCAGATGACCTTCAAATTTATCAACAAGCGCCCATTGATCAACTTGGTGATGCAGTGCTAGCCACAAACAGTGATTTGGATAAAATATTGGAGTGGAGTAAATCTTTTGGGCTGGAGGTAAATCCGGCTAAATCAAACAGTATCATTGTTGGAAGCTCCAGGATGATCGCCAAAGTTGACTGGCAATCACTCCCCAAAATTCATCTCGCTGGCACCATCATTCCATTCAGCATCTCAGTAAAAAACTTAGGGTTAACCATTGACAATTGTATGAGTTGGTGTCCCCAGATGCAAGTGCTCAGCCGTAAACTGTTTGCTTCTGCAGCTTCGCTGAGGGGACTACGCAATTTTCTACCCACTACCACCAAAATTTCCCTAGCACAGACTCTGTTGCTTCCTATTCTCGATTATGCTGACGTCTGCTATCTAGATCTAACGGAGGACCAGCTTGATAAACTTGAGCGGCTTCAGAACTTCTGTATTCGATTCATATTTGGCCTGCGCAAATATGATCATGTATCTCAATTTCGTTTACAGCTCAAGTGGCTACCTATTCGCCTTCGCCGGAATACGCACATCCTTACTCTTCTGTATAACATACTGTTCAATCCTTTGTCCCCACGCTATCTTAAGGAATGTTTTAATTTCCTTCACACTTCGAACACATTGTCCCTTAGGTCATCAGAAAATCTCGCTCTCATTACTCCTGTTCACTCTACAACTTTTTATGGCCGTTCTTTCGCAGTACAAGCCGTTCGTCTATGGAATGCTCTTCCAGTTTCCATAAGACGTGCAAAATCACTCCACATTTTCAAAAACCTTGTTAGATCTCACTATATGTCCTTGTAACCCTTCCATTTTTGTTGATCTAAGCTGAATGAATTAGACATAGGTATGTATGTATTTGTGTATATATTTATATATATGTATGTATATATATTTATGTATATGACTATGTATGTATTCTTGTAGGTATATAATTATATGTATGTATTGTTTTATATACTTATTTTGATTATATTTGTTAGAATGATTTTATATTGTTTTGTAGTAATTACACCGCCGTCTCTCCAGCTTCTTTCCTGTCCTCTCCATCCTAAGGTTGTCTGGAAGAGATCGCTCTTAGCGATAAGACCGCCCATTATTACACTGTATTCTTTAATTATGTACTTCATGTTTTATGTTTTCTGTGGTGTAAAAATAAAGAGTTTTGTATTGTATTGTATTGTATTATCATTATTATAAATCCGAAGGTATCTGTCTGTTACCTCTTCACGCTTAAATCACTGAACAGATTAAGATGAAATTTAATATAGAAATATTTTGTCCCAAGATATGATAGTTTTTATCCATTAAATCATCTTTTAAAGTCGTGGGGGGGGGGGTGCAAGTTTATGTTTGTATGATAAATTCTTGACAAAACAATAATTTAATCCCAAAGTACACGAAGCTTGATCTACATATAAAAAACATATCTTTTTTAAACAAACATGACACGAAAACAAAGGTTTGTGACCATCACATAAACTCCCCATTCCCAGAAGCGCTGATATGCAGTAATTGAAGAATTTAGAAGAAACAAAAGAAAGAGATAAGTAGGAATCTTCTCTCTTTTGAGTAACTGTCTACAGACATTAAAGTAGAAGAGAGATAGACATTAAGAGTGTAAAATTAGAATGCTACATAAGAAGCGAGGAATGGATATTCGACCGATTTGAACAGGGATCAAAATTGAGTAGGTACTTACCTACTTAATACAAGGCCCTCTATTTTTAATCACACGTTTGAAATTGTATCTTCTTATATATCATTCCCGAATCCCAAGCCTCGACCCTTTTTTCTACATTTTGAAGGGTTCGTCTGATGCTGCCGGCGCATCACTTGGCTATTCATGCTTGCTATTTGTAAACTTGTCATCAGTCTGTCCTTTCGCATGAGAAGGGCATGGATGTCATGTTTACGAAGCAAACACGATTTGCAAAGTGAAAAGCCTCCATTAGATAATGCGAAATATTCAATTTTGGTAGTTTCACACAGACAAACGTTAAAACTGATAAATAATCGCAAAAGCATAGCATAGTATAGTTAACAAACGCAGAAGTTAGTCATTATTTATGAAGTTATCGAGACAGTTGAATAAAAACAGTATATTTACCTGGTTAAATTCTTTGACACTGCATGGTTCAGCATCATCCGCCGCTGTAAAAGTATCAAACAAAACATTAACTTCTGTGCACTTGCTAATGTGAACTTTTAACTAATTTTCTGGGAAAATTATCATTAAGAGCCTTTTTTTGTTAATAGATTATGAATCTTATATCAAGTAAAATAAAGCTCGTCCATACAGTATTGTATTCAATTGTTGAGTATTGTTACAATGTTTATTAATTAGAGTATACAGTTTAAAGTGATAGCCAGTCAGTCCCATTCTAATGTTTTCGGGGCTGAGCTATTTAGATAAAATAAAGATATAATTTTAGGTATATTAAACTCGGTGTAAAAAAAACGCACCTCTGCGATAATAATTTTCAAGCGTTATTAACCCTTAACACGCGCATGTTAAAAAATCCATTTCATTTAACTTGACACCACAAATGTGACTTTAAAAAGAAATGCCTATTTTGCTCCTCAAAAAGGCCACTAGTTGCGCTACCTTTAGTGGGTAGAAAAGGGTTAATACATGTTCAATAGGGATTATTCGGCTATCTCCGGGGGCGGCATGAAGCCGTTAGAATTAATCAATCGATCTCTGACTGGTCTGACTTCTCTACCTCTGCTACCTCAGGGAGGCGTGATCTCTCCTTTCTTCCTCTCCTTATTTATTAACTTCCTTACTTCTTTATTCTTCTTCTTTCTACCTCTTATCATCTTTATGCAGACGACCTTCAGCTGTATACGCAAGACACCCTACCAAACCCTGACAGGTCAATCTGTCTACCCCAGAATAATTTGGAAGGCATAATACACCGTTTACGTGCTAGCTTAGATTTCCCGGCTTCGCCTACGTTGAGCCATTATTTTCAAATAGTGGCAGAATCGGACTTCATTTTTCTTATGCTAATATCGGTACTTAAACTCTTCAGGAACTACGTACAGGTGTCTTGATCCGTGAAAACCACTACCTCAGTTGATTGCTGGCGAAGGTCGACGAAGATCAGACTGTTGCGACGTGTTCGGGAACGTAGCCGTTGTAGCTGGGACCTAGACGCTGCACCTATCAGGGGAGTGCCGCTCAGGTGCATTCACTGGCTCCAACCTACCTACGACCCTGGTCTTTGGACAACTTATTTTCTTGTAGTATATTGTATCATCATCCTCATCAGCCTATTTATGTCCCCCCCCCCCCATAGTATATTGTATAGTAATCTTAATTTGTCGTTTTATTTAGTGCAATCCTAAATAAACCATGACAAATGTAAATTCATATATATACATATAGTATGTGTAGGTATAAGTAATTAATGCATTTAATTTCGTTTTTAACATTGTTTGATGTTTACTCTGTTCGTTCGTTTGACTGGTAGAGATTGTCATACTGGCATTAAGTCCGCCATTTGCATTATTTTAAAGGCAATAAAGATTAAATAAATAAAAAAATAAAATTAGCTATCCAACCGTTGAAGACCGTTCCAAAACTTAAAGATACCACTGCTGATGAAGCCGCTCAAGTGATTGCACAACGATCAGGGATGCGGCAGCGTGATATCGCTCGGCAACTGAACTTGAGCCGTTTTTCGGTTCGAAGAGTATACCAGCGGTTCCTGGAGACCGGTGGCCATGTCCGGAGGCATGGGTCTGGTAGACGTCGCTGCACCTCGGAGCGAGACGACCGATTCATCGTATCGACATCTCTAAGAAATCGGGTTCTCTAATGCTGTTGAGTTGCAACAACAGCTCCAGACGGCTCGCAGAACAACCGTGAGCGTTTCTACGGTTAGAAAAAGACAGCGGCTCATAGAGCTGCTACGGGTCCGAAATTGACCGCAGAGCATCGGTGAGCCGGCTTGCAGTTTGCTCGCGACCACGTCAATTGGACCCTTGACCAATGGAGAGCTGTTCTCTTCACAGACGAGACGAAAGTGTGCCTTTTCTGCCACGATAGACGCAGAAGAGTGTACAGAAGACAGGGGGAACGATTCGCCCAAGCCTGCATCCAGGAGACGGAGGAAGACGGGGGCGGTTACTGTATGTTTTGGAGCGGCATATCGGCCGACGGCAAAACCTTGTAAGCGTCTTCCGGACTGGAGGTGCTCAAGGGCAAGGGTCGCTGACTGCTCACCACTACGACACAGAGATCCTGGAAGAGCATGTGGTCCCCTATGCCGGTTTTTTTGGCGAGGGGTACACATTAATGCACGATGACGCTCGCGCTCACACTGCATTAATTGTGCGCGACTAACTTCAAGAGGTTGGGATCTCTGTAATGCAGTGGCCAGCGAGAAGTCCAGACCTGAACACAGTATAGCACCTCTGGGACCATTTGAAACAACGATATTAAATACCCTAGATGCACCACCAAAAACTAAATCGTGGCCGAAACCTGTCCAAAAGCTACACTGAACGATCCACGGAGCTCCGTAAGTTGATCGCGTAGTCAAAAACAATATAACATTGAAAGTCACTTTTAATGTATACTGTATAAGGTCTTAATTAAAACGCATCCATCAAAGGGATACGACAGTTCGAAATGCAAGCTCGTACAATTTTACGACTTATTGCTATATGCGGAATAATATAGACCTTATTGGTTTGTCTCAACGCGCAATTCAGAATGCGCTGTTAGCAAAATAGCAGTTACGAACCGGAAAAGAGACGACTATATTACCGACCATGCATTTGAATATCACAAATATGATTTTATTTATTTTTTAAGCATTTAACTGCATGATGTTTAAATCTAAAGAAAAGTTTACTAGAAAAAAATCCACGCGGACCAGGCAGCGGACGGGACAATCACACAAATATTTTCTATTAAATCAGTTTATACTAAGTACTAGAACAAAATTTGCTTCAAATACGTTAAATTATTATAACAAACATTGATTAAATACCTGTCGAAGAAACAACACTTAACGGACTATAAATATTGTTTTCGTATTTTTTCACGGAGCTGTGCGGCATCTTTACTTTTCAACGGTCCAAGCGGACTGTGAACCAAGAAGTGCTTGAGTGGGGTTGCAGCACTTCTTTGTTGGGACACATTTTGAGCGCACATGGTGTATCTAGGGATTTTAATATCGTTGATTAGAAATTCAAGGTTCGGTCTCGTGATCCCGCTCCCACGACTCTCCAAGAGCTCGAAGAGGCCGTTATTGAGGAATGGACCACAATCCCTCAAGAAGAGCTTCTAAAATTGGTAAGATCCATGAGGGATGAGGCCGTCATCCGGGCAAGGGGGGTAACATTAGGTTAGTTTTAAGATCCTGTTTGTATTTCTATCTGTTTTTATTTTGGCTTAATTAAGGATTTTGATTGTTTTGTAAACTTTAGTTTTTTATAGTGTTTCAATAAAAAATAAAATGAATTGAATTTTTTAAGTTTATTTAATGAGCTTCCAAATGACACCAATATTGGTATGTGTAAATGCGTGTGTTAAGGGTTATAACAACGCTTGAAAGTTATTTTCGCGGAAGTGCGATTTTTTAGTGTGTTTAGTAGTGTAGTATGCATCTAAACATATAAATAAAATTAGAGTGTCTGTTTGTTATATTGAAATACCTGCTTTTTACTACATGCATATGAATATATATACGGTACATACACCAAAATAACATTTTCTACAATTTATGTATTTCAAAATAAAATTTGTTCCGGCTAATCTCTGAAATGGCTTAACCCATTTTGATGGGACTTTTATTGGCAGTTAGATGATGTAATAAGAAGTAAATAACGCTACTTTTATTTTAGAAAAAAAAAACTAAAAGTTATCGCAGACGAAGTCGCGGGCGGACGCTAGTTATAAATAAAGTTATACTCACACGCGTTGCCCTCTCTTCTCCTTTCTTGTTGCGGACGTTTGGGTTCTTCGTTCGCATCTACTGTTATAACCTGCAAGAATTCATTCATTGATAATTCACTGATTGAATCATTCATATACATTATTGTAACAGTAGCTCTTTCACATTATTAAGACTAACTATAATAATTTGAAATGATATGGAAAACGAACTTCGCTAAAAAGTGGTTCATGCAAACAGCGATCAAGTTGAGGGGGGATCAACACGCAGATCATGGGATTGGTCGGGATTTCCATTAAACATTATCTTACCCAATGAATGGATAGCGGAATTCCATTGCAGATATTTGATTTGTCAAATTATTTTGTTTTGTCTGTGTGTGTGTCGCGTTAGTATTGAAGTTTAGCTGTATGAGTATGAAATCATGATTTAGCACCTTTTGTAAGAGAGTAATGCTTTCATATCATTGCTAATTCGTTGATTGAGACACATGAACTTTGATTTCATGATGGCTTGAAACCATGTTTGGGTGTAATTAAAATCATGTTTCAAAACTTGATAAGGAAACAAAAATCACGTAGGTATTCAGAATATTTATTTTTAAAGAAAATATAACTAGAAATAATTCCACGCGGACAAGGCAGCAGACGGGACTCGAACCCGCACCCTTCGCTATCCGGGCGAATGCACTGACCAATTATGCTACCGCGGCCCTGATGGCCGCGTCGAAATTCTTCTAGCCATTCTTAAGCTGCAAGGCAGCGCCATCTCTTCGTGCATTCAGTTCATTCGCTCGGATAGCGAAGGCTGCTGGTTCGAGTCCCGTCTGCTGCCTGGTCCGCGTGGAATTTTTTCTAGTTACATTTTCTTTAGATTTAAACATCAAGCAGTTTCATGCTTAAAAAATAAAAATTATAAAGATCTTTTTTTATACTCTTGTATAAGATGGTTTTTATATATACAGCGGCAAATAACTCCATTTCACATTTTAATTGTAAATGTACAAAGGTAGCTGTAGAGACATCCGTGCGGAACATGCTTTGTTCACAGAAATGACTGTCACTGGCCTAAGTAACGACAATACAACCCGACTTCTGACAAAAATGTCGACACCAGCTTATTTCCGTGTCAACATAGCGCATTTAGACTCACTTTAGAAACATAAACCTATCTTGAACAGACACAAGATATTAATCAAATATGCGACACCATAGCTTTATTATAGAAGCTTCCGATGCTTGAGTATCGCGCGTCTGGCCCCATCCCCGTAGCCGGGCAGACGCACCTCAACAGGGCAAGACCCGTTCACGAGCTTGACGCACAAACCTGCCATCCCTTAGCTTATTCATATATAAGAAAACGTAAGATAATAAATACTTTGAATACCTTTCACAAATTGCGAAATAAAAACAAATACAACAAATAATATATATGAAATTACTAACAGTTGCTACATTTTGTTGATATTAAGTTTATAATGGATTTAATTTAATAAATAGTGGAACCAATGTTATGCCCTATCGTTCTAGATTTCTCTTTAAATGCATAATCGATTACGAATAGTTTCAAAATGATTTAATGAAGAAACAACCTTAATAATTACCTGGTTGAGTTCAACGTCTGCGTTTACGACTGCACTCTGTGTAGTATTTTCCCCTGTGTTCGTGCTTCCATCTGGTTCGTCCTGTGCATCTATTTCTACAATCTCTTCCTCTAACGACATACCCGTTGTATTCTGTGACGTGTTTACTGTGAAAATGTGTCAATTTTTTATTCACAAATAAGGTCCTCTGCTTTACTAAACTTTAGAAAAGCTCTTCCGAGCGTCTATTTCTAGTATCTCCTCTTACAACGATATACCCGTTGTATTCTGTGAGGTATTCACTTAGAAATAGTTTTTTTTTATTCATCATTCATATTACTAAACTAATTTGAAAAAGAAGTGTCGTATTAGGGAGTCTGATAACTAATGTGTCTAAAGCAAAGTTAAATGCTTATGTATGTGACATAAGCATTTATTTAACCTTGCTACATTTTTATTCCCCAGTAAAATGTTGCATAAAAAGAAAACTTTTTGAATAAGTTTTTTTTAATCATCTGTTCTATAAAATACTTATTATGATTTGCATGCTTATTTTAGTGTTCCCCATTGATTGATGTTTTCTTAGTGCCTATGATGTAATAAAGTATACCTTCAACAACTGCATCTTTGTCTGTGGCTGTATTCTCATTTCTCGTCGATCGGCTTGAAGTATCTGAACTGGGTGGTTCCGGTACTGAGAAATAAATTTTTTAAGGCTCAAATACAGACCAGCGGCCAGGGGTATACATAACTATTATGATATTGGTGCGGTAAGTTGGTTATTACAAACGAGTAGACGAATTGATGCCCGAGACTAAGTAGAGGGTTTACCATAGTCACGAGTTTGTAAATACCAATTCCGCACGATTTTAATACAACGTTTATCTACACATTTGCGAGAAAACAGTACCTATACCTAATTTAAGTAATGAAGCAAACTTTTTCTAATAAGGAAAAGGCGCGCATCTCCAATTGGCGCCACGTGCGTGTGGTGAAAATAAGAACTACATCTCCAATCTCTTTTTCTTTTTAGTATTAAAGTGAAACAAAGGTATAGATTAAAAGCGTTTTCAGCACATTTGCAAAAAAATGCATTTACGGAAGTTGTATAAATTGTTAGAAAGTTCAAAAAAAGTTTAGGGCAGGGGATATGTTAGGTTTGTATACAGCACAAGACGGCTAAACCTAACACATCACCTATTTTACCATTCTGTGTCCCGTTTGGTAATTTGGCTAATGGTCTGGGGAGCGAGCGCAAGTCGTGAAGATCCCCCAGACAAGCCTAGCTGTTATCCTTCACATGGTTGCCGCCTGTTATTGGTCTGATTCCTTATGAAATTATGAAACAGACGTAACTGAAACAGTCAGACGACTTGCCGTGGCTGGACAAGTCCTTAAGGCGCTAGAAGAGGCAATTGTTGAGGAAACGCTTAAGGCGATTGGATCCCCAACAATCGATGGACCGTCTCTCAAGGGGAAACCCATGATTGCAGACGGAGCCTTGAGCCTCTGGTGCAAAACACCCCAGTCACTGGAGTGGCTGAGGAGGACGGTGGGGACACTGAAAGTGACAGGGGTGGAGGATTTGGTCGTCCAAAGACAAATCGACCGACCTAGGAGGGTGGTATGTGGGCTGCTCATACCGGACATACGAGAGCCCTATACCATTGCCAAGGTGCTTCGGTATCAAAACTTTGATGCTAAAGTAGACCGTTGGCTGCTACAAAAGGCAATTACTGGCGACACGAGCACCTTTCTGGTGTTTAGCACGACACGGGACGTTGCGGAGAAGTTGGTAGCGAGGAGGAGGCAACTCAGCTATCTACTGTGCTCTGTGTACGTGAGGTTCAGGAGCAAGGGCGGTCCGTACCTTGAGACCCTGCCGCCTCTAGAGCAAATAACACCGGCTCCGTCACAGAGAGAACCAGAGCCTCCTGAGACGCCGCAGCGTACGACAGAAGCAGATGACACCTCGGCCACCTGTGATCCTGCTCCGATGGAGCAGATGGAGCAGGAGGTTGTAGACGAGTGGGCAGACAGGCTCGGTGGGATCAACATCGATCAGGAGGGCGATGTTGATGTACTGCTATCCTCCGATGGCGCCTCCACCACCGACCATTAAGACCATCCAGGCGAACCTCCAACACAGTCGCACCGCAATGGCTCAGCTCACGAGATGGTTGGAGGTTAACGACGAGGCAGTGGCTCTGATCAGATCCAACAGCGTATGCGGCTTCACAAACAGCGGTGGTAAGACATTCTATACAGCAAGGAACCGTGCTCCGCGGTCCTGTATCATATGTTCTACTAACACACAGGCACAATTAATGACACAATTCTGTTCTAGCGACCTAACAACCATTAAAATAAAACAATCGCAAGATCCAAGTGTACCCGATCTGGTGATGGCCTCCGCCTACATGCATGAGGAGGAGACGGCACCACCAAATGAACTAGTGGAGCTGGTGAGATACTGCGAACAAAACGACATGGCGCTGATCATCGGCGCTGACGCCAACAACCATCATCCTCTGTGGGGCATGCCTAACAGCAACAAGCGAGGTGAGGACTTAGTAGACTTTCTTTTTACGACAGACCTGAGCATCCTAAATGTAGGCTCGGCTCCAACATTCGTGACAAGAAGAGCAAGAACAATCATAGACCTAACAATGGCGACGAGGATGGGTGCCAATCTGGTGTCCGACTGGAAGGTTTCCATGGAGGCCTCTTGTTCGGACCACAGATGGATCACATTCAAACTCGTTATACACACTGTTATCCCGACACCCAGGCGCATACCTAGAAAGTCAAATAAGAAGCAGTATACACTACAGATAACTCAATCCCTACAGCGCATGCAGCTCAGGGACTATGAGGACACCGAGACAATAGACAAGACCACTGAGGAGCTGACTGAGGCCATCATGTCCGGCTACCGGAATGCATGCCTCCTCAGCACACCTAGGACTAACCCTAGTAGCAAAAACTCCTGGTAGGGACCCGCACTTGCAAGACTGAGGAAAAAGGTAAGACGCCTCTTTAACAGGGCTATGAACACCTGTGATGACCAAGACTGGGACGCATATAGAGATGCAAAATCTCTACAAAAGACGAATTCGGCACTGGAGCGATGGGTCATGGCGGAAATTCTGCACTAGCATTGACGCGTGTTCCACGGCAAACAAAGTAAGGAAACTACTCTACCAATGCAAGAGGATGCTGGGTAAGAGGTGGGGCCTATCCCCATTTATAACAAAATGGCTATACACGACGATAATAAGACCCATTATAGGCTATGCAGCGCTTGTATGGTGGACGAAGACAACGCAGGTAACAACCATAGACAAACTTAAGTGCTTCCAAGGGAGGGTCTGCCGGGCGATAACGGGTTGCATGAAAACCACCCCTATTGCAGCACTAGAGACGATTCTGAACGTAAGACCACTACATTTCTACATTCAGCAAGAAGCAGCATGTGCGTCTACTAGGCTCCATATGCTGGGCTTGTGGAGAGACTACAATACGCCACATACTCGTATTCAAAAAGGTATTGAGGGAGAATACCCCTCCTTCATGGCGATCATCTAGTGAAAATGATAATATAGTTGTGGATATTAATACCACAGTGTTATAAAAAAAAATTATCGATCAAAACGACATTATCCCTAGACAGTACGTATTTGACAAAAAATATAGAATACAACTATATGAAGACAATCCTGACCGAGGACTGCACAAGGAGCTCAGGGTATACACAGACGGCTCCAAAACCAAGTCAGGTACTGGTGCAGGTGTGTTCTCAGAGGATATCAACATTCATATATCAGACAGCCTGGGTATCCTCAATACGGTCTTTCAGGCGGAGTGTATAGGCATTGTCAGAGCAGCGGAGGCCATCACACGATGTGCAATTAAGGGTAAGAACATCCGGATACTCTCTGACAGTGCCTCGGTACTCCAGGCGCTAGACAACAATATAATGATGTCCGGCTTGGTTTTTGAATGCCACTGCAAACTTATGGAGGTAGGCAGAGAAAACGAGGTCATACTTCAATGCATAAAAGGACATAGTGGGTCAAGGGGCAATGATGCAGCAGATTGTCTGGCCAGGAGAGGGTCGGACACTGTGTTATTTGGCCCAGAAACAATCGTACCGATCCCATACCGGCTGCTGCGAAGCTGGATTAGGGAACAGTACCTGCGGCAACACAACGAATACTGGGCTGGACTTGCAGACTGCAGGCACGCCAACAGCAAGTAAGTTTTGCAAGCTACCAAGACATGCTTTGAAACAAATAGTGAGCATCCTCACAGGACACGGACACTTTAATAAACATCTGTTTAAAATAGGTGTCTCGGACAGTCCTCTGTGCAGAGCCTACATGGAGGAAGAGGAGACGAGCACTCACGTCCTGCTGCAGTGCAGAGGCGTGACCAGACACCGGATGACACACCTGGGCAGCCCGCAGACGCTACTAGAGGCCTGCGGAGACACCAAGAGACTGCTGAGCTTCTTGGGGGAGTTGGGATGGCACGACTAAGGCGTGAGAGGATGTCTCACGCAAAATAGGCACCTGGTGTCGAGTTGCGGAAAACACCCACCGTTAAGAAGAAGAAAGTTCAAAATTACGCACCATACAACAGAGCGTGCGGTAAAAAAAAATCCGCACATACATGGCGCTGTGCGTATCCTTTACGGTTTTTTTATTTGGGTCGAATCTCCGATATAAGCGCGGTAAGTTGGTTATTACAAACGAGTTGACGAATGTATACAACCTCCGTAAGTGCATTTTTTGAGCAAATGTGTTGAAAATCACTATTAAACCCATATAAATACAATATGATCATGAAATAATAGTTATTTTATCTACACCCATGCTTTAAAAAACCTCTTATAACACTAAAATATTCAATGTTATAATAATAAAAAAAACCTTTTTAACACCAAAACAGGTGTGCAGCAGTGAGAATGTGGCTGTCTGAGGAGTTAACAATTTGCAAGGAAGGGATCGAAAAAGCGAAGGACTTTTATTATAAAAGGGCAATAATGGGCAAAGCACACCCAGATCCGCCAACAATGTAATTAGTATGAATCGATAGATCTATGAAAAACTAACCATTTTTTATATGGCACTGTAAAAAAATATCTGGTAGTCAAAAGATATGACACATGGGCATATTTAAGTAGTAAATATATTCATTTAATAGTACCTTCATTTTATATTATTAGTAATCATATTAATATGCCATATCGTACTATACAACCAGATATACGACAAAGCCTGACTATCCTGCGCTTGCACTTACTTACTGAGACACCTCAAAACGGTTTACGGGGGTTGAAGGACTTGCAGTTGCAAATAGTCGAATCGTCTTACTTCATTGTGATTGTGCGCTCACTGTCACTTGATGGATTTTTATCTAACACGCTTTGGACATTGGAACATGATTATCGGTTTTGTCAACAGGAAGGATGAACTGGAACCATATTTTCTCCGAAGTGTGGACAAGTTTGTGTGATTTGTGGTCGCTCCGTTTTACATAAAAGACAATTTACTATAATGAACAGAATGTTTGGAAAAAACCCCAACCCATGAGGGGCTTTTTAGATTTACTCTAGCGCGGCAGAATAACATAAGGGGGTACCCTTGCACCTTGTGAAGTACTCCCATAATATCTGATCCCCCTATGTAGGGTCGAACTAACAACTAAATTAATTCCCTTGTTTTATTCGTTCGTTATAGTACTTGTACCTATTTAACTTAAAATAACTAAAGACCCCCGGGATGGAATTTAATGCGCTTCGGTACAGATGATCATGACAATGAAAGGTATAATACCTTTCAAAGGGTGCAGCTTCCATACATTTTTGCCCAATGTCTTTTAGTACACCTTTAGTACAACAAAAGTTTTTATCTACACCCATGCTTTAAAAACGCTATTAAAGAATCTGAAACAGTTAGCTTTTTGCCAACACTAAATCAACAAAACACTAAATGTCATAATGAAAAATATGCCCGTTTGGGTGTTATATTTTTTTTTATCCATAATAACATTCTTTTTAAATTTCTTGGCGAAAGGCGCCAAGGGCTTGCTCATTAGACACCCTTTTCACTGCTCGATGCGTGTTATTATGAATTAAAAAAAAGAAACATTGTCATTTACGCGCCCTTCACTACCACAGCGCCGAAACTTTTCATGCATTTTAGTTCTTAGAACGCCCCATAGTCTGTTATAGAGGATACATATATATCATCGGTGTAAAATCTTATATGCAACTATTAAAATTAGGTATTAAAATACTCATGCAATACTATTTTGACGCTCGGCTTCGCTTCGTGCTTCGAGTGATAAACCCACATTCGTGTTTTAAAACCACCATTATACAACAGTTCCATAAATAATTATTATTTAATTAGGATATTGGATGTGTTAATTTTGGCAATAAGCTGTTTCAGAATCTCTTATAAAAGTTTTAAAGTATGGGTGTAGATAAGTGTGTGTATGAATGGCACTGACCAGCGGGCGGGTATTAAAACACTCATGCAATACTATTTTCACGCTCGGCTTCGCTTCGTGCTTTGTGTGATAAACCCACATTCGTGTATTAATACCGCTCATTATACAACAGTTGCATAAATAAATTTGACGCCCCCCAGTGGCCGAGTGGTTAGTACGCCGGGTTTCATGGCTGTCGCAGACTCGAGAGGTCCCGGGTTCGAATTCCGGTAGGGGCAGATGTTTTTGTGATGAATACGAGCATTTGCACTCCAGTCATGGATGTTTAATATGTATTTCTATATAAATATACTTATATATGTACACTATATGTATTCTATCCGTTACCCTAGTATCCCATAACACAAGCCTTACAGAGCTTACTTTGGAGCTAAGCTAATTGGTGTAAGTGTTGGAAATATTATTATTATAATATTATTTAATTAGTATATTGGATGGTATAATGTTGGCAATAAGCTAACTGTTTCAGAATTTTAAAATATGGGTGTAGATAAGTGTGTATATGAATAGCACTGACCAGCGGGCGGTGGTTTAGGGGCGGGGCCCGGCACCGGGGTCGAAGCCACTGTCTGGGGCGATGGCGGCAGCCTCCTTTTCAGAAAACGCGGCAACTCTAACATTTCCATTTCCATGTAAGATATCCTGTCCGAAGTCGAAGGATTGCCTGAGAACCAGAATATTAAGGAGCCGTCCATTATTCACACACATACTGAAGTGAAGCTTCAATAATAATGGGGATATAAAGATTTTGCTGTCACGAAAAAGTGTTGCTGTCGCGTGGACGGAGGTAGAACGATATATCGCGTAGTGAGAAGCGGCAGCAGCAGAGGGAGAGAAAGGTTGTGTTTCACTTTCTACTATGATCCCTTTTAAACTCCTCCTTCCCTCTAGTGAGGTTTCAGACCTCACCTCTCAAAAGTGTTTTGTACGTACTTACGTACGTATCATAAAAATTAGTATGCAATCAAAAGTCAAAGACATGTGCCGCTTATCGCACGTTCAAGGACAAAATAATATATACAGTGCGACAAGGATCTTTATGAACGTGAGTGACAGTTCTGGAGGGGCGCCACTGTCTACCTAAATGACATACTAAATATGACGTTTACAAAGACGGGAGCGTTGGTTCCAATTTTCGCCACATTCATAAAGATCCTTGTCGCACTGTACAATATCTTAATACACCCTCCCTTTCCCTCTCCTCAAAGCCTGTCTGCAACATCCTTCAAATTAGCCTTCTCTGTGGATTTATTTACAACTAAAATTGGACCATCTGTCTGAAGTAACTACGCCCACCATTGAGAAAACGGCAGCCAAATAACAGGGTTCTTTATTCTTTGTATTGTTCTTCTGCAATGAGAAAGGTTTCTAGTTCTCCGCCGGGTCACGTTTCTGTCGTTATCTGCCCTAGCAGATAACACTCCAATGCTGTTCTAGTATTGCAAGTGTCTATATTGTATGGTGTCCACATTCAATCCAGTTGGCGATTTATTGTTAGCCTATTTTAAATTTAAAATAGTCTTTATAAAATAAGATGTTGAGTGTGAATGTATCAATAGGGCAATGCAAATGGTTTTTCAGGGTTTTTTTATATTATATATTTTTATTTTGTTAGAATAAGCGCTCATACGTACTGGCGGTCAAACGCGTAGGCTAGCCATTTTTTTTTTTAACATTTACACCTATTAGCCTAGCCCCAAAGTAAGCACTGTAAGGCTTGTGTTATGGGATACTAGGGTAACGGATAGAATACATATACTGTACATATATAAATATATTTATATAGAAATACATATGAAACATTCATGACTGGAGTACAAATGCTCGTATTCATCACACAAACATCTGCCCCCACCGGGACTCGAACCCGGGGACCTCTCGAGTCGGCTACACCATGAAACCCGGCGCACAAACCAGTCGGCCACGGAGGTCGTCGAATTTAAGCTTTAAGGCGCATACGCGCAATAACCGCCCGTGTGTACGAGTGCTAAGGTGTTGGTGTACCGTAAAAAATAATTAAAGGATTTAAATCGTACCACATCTACTGCTGAACGAAGGTTGCGCACTACGACTGGACTGTAGTCTCTTTAGAGCATTTTGATGAGCCTTGATACTGGCCGATGTCAATGATGGTGTGAATAAAGGATTCCTTGATGGCCCAGGCAAACCTGTATGATAAAATAACACATGAAGAAAAAGTATATGATGGTGGTGTATGTGAAAACATAAGAAATAAATATGATAAAAATACATTTTTAAAGTATAATGTATAAAGTGTATGTTATAGTGAGATTCAAACTTCTAATGGCAGTTAATGTTAATGGTGAACACAGGCTTCAGATCAGTGATAATCCAGGTGCGCCTACATAACTTTACATTTCGTTTACTGTGCCGCGACTTACACCAACTTCATTACTTCACAGTCACTATTCAGTACAGCAAATGCAGTTAAAATATGCAGTAAGCATGCTTTGGTATAGCAATTTCTGTTGATCAAACAAACCTCGTGAAGACATGGAGTATAAGCTGGAGTTAGACTTGGTCGGACGCAGGCTGTTGTTTAGTCTACACTGGGTGATTTTCTTGAACGCTAGAATGCGCTGAATGTCAGCAGCAGCAGTCATACGATCTGTTCGTATTTCAGAAGCTGGCGTATTCGTAGGCGGCCGTGGCCCCTCGCATGCCCTTGTACTAAAAAAAATATATTTAAAAATAAATATTAAGAAAACTTCATCTTCAATTGTATGAAAACATGATACAGGCCAATTAACCATTCTGGATGAAGACTGAATATTACTATATTTTAATTTTTACACACACTAAACTGTTAGGTTTCATTGTATCTAAAAAAATTTTACTAAAACAATCACTCAATATATAAACAACCATTTGACTGACATGGGGTGTGGGAGGAGGGACTTCACATAACAAAAGAATTGCTATTTATATTTCTTAAAACAGGTAAAAAATTAACATGCCCACTTTATTATAATTTTGTAAATTGATTTGTTCACTTATCTAAATTTCAATAAATCACTCTTCACAAGTTAAAAAGTATTTTATAGAAACTAAGGAATAAATCTCTTCATTATAGATATGAATTTATAAATCTTGCCTCCTTAAACAAAGAAATAGGCTGGACAAGTTACACAAACAGAGACAATACTGTTCTTAACTAGTCCATGCTTATTCTTTATTTATAAATAAGGGTCAGTGTGAATAGTCAAAGTATTATTTTGGAAAATTGTATCATATTTAAATATTCACAGATTTATAAAACATAGGTACATATTAAACAAGGTTCTAATAGATAGGAATTCATAAACAGGTCAAATGAATTCAAATAACCTCTTTCTAATGGTCCCCATTGAGTCTAAATTCATTATTATTTATTTAGACATTCAAACTTAAAATCAATAGAAACACTTACATTCCAAGATAACCATGCCCATACAGTTCCATATTGAATGTTATATAAAATAATCATTTGGAAAAATATATCACATGCTCATTAAATACATTACTCACCGAGATGCTCCAGAAGATGAAGATGGTTTGGGTGTATTATTCATTAAAGACCAAAACATTTCAGCCTGATTTCTTTTGGGTGGTGACATTAAGGGAGATTCAGAAAGCTGTTGTCCTGTACAAATATATACTCCTGTTTATTATTCCCATTCGAACCATCTTTTGAAATAACACATGTGCTCCCAAAAATACCATATGACCACTTTTACTTTTATTAAGGCTTTATTACTCTATTTAAAATCAATGTTCCAAATGAATATTTTTAGCATAATTTTTTAAGTAATTTATTCACATATCACACATCTATATAACATAATTCATGTAGTGTAGGTACATTAAGTATGTGTGTGCAATTAAACAGTTTCTATTGAAATGTTTTCTTTTAGCTTTTTCCCACAAAAATTAATAATAAAAAGTATGTGTGTAAATAAACAGTTCCCTTTAAAGTGAGTTTTTTGTTTTTGCTCTTTTCCCTCAAATATGAAAAAAATAAATGACATGAAAAATTACCACTTGTGCCAGGCATGTCTGCCACACTTGGGCGAGGTTCAGCAGACTGTCTTCGTAGCAAGTGCACATCGGGCATAGGCTGATCATCATCATCTGTATAATAGTTTGTGTTGTTATGAATTATATTATATACTCATAGTATAAAGTAGTAATAGATAATTACGGATAAATAAATCTAACATAACAATGATGTAATTATTATTCTACAGCACTAGAACAAAAGGTACCTGAACTCCAAGGATATTCCGTAATACCTAATGATTTTTTCAGGTGTTCTTTTCTGCTTCCCATAATTTTAGTTTAAGCACAGTTATAAAATCTTCAATATTATTAGTTATTCTTCAATAATACAAACACCTGAAACTGAAAACCAAAGAAAAATAATCTGAAGTCTTCTCCGATGTAAATTTTGTAGTTAAATTCATAGACTAATATTGTATATGTTAAATTACCACAGACTAATACAGTTTACCATATTGACAAAATTGACATTTCATTGAAAGTAGATAGTGTTTTTTTCGTTTTTTTAGTCTGTGGCTGTTTCCGTTTTACACAGAAATTGCGCTTATGTTATGGATCTTATTTTAATTAGTCTTCATTTCGTACATAGTGAATAATGTGAAATAAAATTGGTGTGATTTTGTGTTACAACCGTCTGCGCAGCTGAAGAATTAGTGGAATCTTTAAAATAAACGCTATTCCGGTGAAATGGACGTGAGAATTTTATTGTAGTCTTAACTACCTCACAGAAGCTTATCGAAAAAACTAACTCGATACATTTCGTGTCAAACACTCCAAGAAACATTAGAATGCATCGCACCGACATTATGTACAAAAAAACGGAGATTATAAATACCTAAGACTAGGCTGTATCAGCATTGTTTCCTTTGCCTTCCGTAAAAAGGGAGAACTATAAAAAAACGGAAAGCCGGTACGGTCCTCTCCACCGTAGTATCTCTAACTAGTCTGTGCTGTCCACAGGCTGTTTTAGTGCCGGTTACGGTTACATTTATTTTTGAAAAGCAAAGCAACTATTAAAATTAAAGTTTTGCAATCGATGTGAAATTGAGCATTTTTGCAATGGCTGATTTACCTTACCAAGCAGAATATGCTAAATCAGGCCGAGCTGCTTGTAAAAACTGTAAAGAGAAGATCGAACAAGGAGCTCTACGCATCGCCCGTATGGTGCAGGTTTGTTTGTATTCATTACTGAATTAATACCTATTACCTGGACCCTCAATTGAGGGTCCAATTTAAATTTATAAATACATTTTGCGATTATCAAATTAGAGGATCATTTGTTTTATATATCTCCTTCAAGACCAAAATGTACCAATGTACCTAAATTTAATTAAAATAAAATTCAAAGAGGTATGTGTTTAACCTATTATACTACTGAGATACATTATAGTACCTGAAGCGGAAAAGCTTAATCTGAAGAAGTCTTCAAGTTATAGCCAGAATTGTGTTTTTAAACAACAACAACAACTAAAAAATAACCATAGCTGGTAGCATATGCAGAGTAAATTGTCTTCTAGGGAACCCATTATCACCACTTACAATGGTGATAATAGGTTTGCTTTTTTCAGAATGGTTTAAAATTTATTTTTTGTATTGTAGTCCGCATTTCATGATGGGAAACAGCCAAATTGGTACCATGAAGATTGTTTCTTTCAAAAACAGCGTCCGACAAGTCATACTGACATTGGAAATTTCAACAAACTGAAAATCAATGATCAGAAAAATATAAAAGCTAAAATAGGTAATGTAATTCTGTTAAATAGATTAATAAAGAAAATTTAAATTTATCTTTAAAAATCATATCAAATAATGGAACTTTTATAGAGTTTGAAAAGTTATGAAAGGAGATGGTTCAAAAGTGGTAGTCCGTTTCCAGCAATGATGAAATATAATTATATCATTTGAAAGCTTGTTTTATATTTAATATGAACAGATACTTTAATTTTTTTTTATATTATTATTTTAAATTGTGTTTAAAATTGAATAATTTTGGCAAAGATGCTGGCCACCCTGTCCTAATTAACGTCATATTTTTAGTCATCTAGCCTATCCAATCACTATGGCAAATGTCAATAAATCCAGTCATGCATGATATTGTGTGAAATCGTGGTGAACTCATTATACCAATTTACAATTGATTCTTCTTGATATTAAATACCCAGAATATACCTTAAAATGTAATGAAAGATGAATCATTATCACTGCTTTTGTTGTATCGCACCTATTGAATAGAATATATTTGATGCTTTGGCCACAAAAAACAGATCATACACTTGCCATTTGCATATATTATTTTATATTATAATATTTATTTAAAAAAAGGGGATAAAATAAATATTATTTTTGCCAATGATTTACAATTCTGCACAATATTTTTCATAAAAAATTTAAGTCTGACTAAGACTAGCTACCACTTCCCATACAAATTTGAACCATCTTTGAATTTTTAATATAGTGTTAATATATTTATTATTTTTGAATATGTTGAAATTATTTATGAATAAGTAGTGGGTAAATTAAACAACTCCACTACACTACCTTTACAGAGGAAGGTTCAGGAATTGTAGTACCTGAAGCTAGTGGCAGCAAAGCTAAGAAAGTTAAAGGCAAAAAGAGAGCTGCGGAAACGGCCCCAGCTTCTGGAGCTTTGCGAGATTTTGCTGTAGAATATTCAAAAAGTAGCAGGGCTACTTGCAGGCATTGTGACATTAAAATTTGTAAGGTAAGATAACAAGACTGAATGTTCTATAATTTATTATGTACCTATATAACAAGATTACTTACTTATTATATACTATAAAATATATATTTTTTAATGTTTAAATAAATAATCTCAAACTACAAAGTTTAATCAAGAAAGAATGCACATAATATTTTACTGTCAGTTTTGTAAGGTGTCTTTGCTCTATCTTTCAATATATTTAAATAAAACAAGTTTTAAAGGGTTAATGCACGAAACTTTATTTATTTATTGACGTTTTGCAGTCTTTTCAGGTCTGCTTTGTCAGGCTGAAAAAGCTGCAAAATATCAATAAATAAATAAAGTTTCGTGCATTAAACTGTTAAAACTAGTTTTATTTAATGAGCAAGATGGGTGAAAACCTAAAAAACAAATATTTCAACATATTTTTTTATTATTATTATTTTTGTATCAAAAAATATTTCAGGGTGAGGTCCGCATCTCTAAAACTGTTTATGACACAGACATTGGTGCTAAATATGGTGGACAACCACTTTGGCACCATGTCAAATGTTTTAATGAGGCAAGAACAGAATTGCTGTTCTTTGCTGGTGGAGAAAGCCTGCCTGGTATTAAAACTTTGTCTGAAGATGACCAGAAAATGGTTATCAATGAAATCAAGTAAGTATTGACTTTAGGTATGGAGGGTTTTTGCAGGACTGTTGTGTAGCAGTACAGATAGTGGCCTTTTGTAAAAAGTATAATTATATTGTCTATGGGTAAGAATTCTCACTCTGACATTAGAACATCCTGTTTCGCTCTATTTTAAATTAGGTGTTAAGTAAACAGCATCAAAGGTACACTATATTATTACAAAACAGTTTCACAGTAAAAATAGTATTAAAGTCTCTGCTTAGACTAATCCAGCTAGATATCTTTTCTAGTCTATCCGTCCATTGCATTCAACTTAGATGTATGTTTGAATCAGAAACACCCTTTGATTATTAATTTTATTCACAGATCATTTAAAACTGATGAAATACCAGTTAAGAAGTTGAAGGGAGAGCCAAAGGATGCCGCTGAATTAAAAGAAGAACAAAAAAAAGAAAAAACCATGGAGAAGCAGAACAAGTTATATTTTAAATACAGGAATGCTTTAAGTGATATGAGCAAGAGTGACTTACAAGAGTTACTAGAAGAGAACTCCCAAGAAATATCTACTAGTCGAGATGAGGTTTGCTTATTTTAAATGAATTATTGTATACTAGACTGATTCAAGGTATCCATACTAATATTATAAATGCAAGTGTATCTGGCTATCTGTTACCTCTTCACGCTTAAACCACTGAATCTATTTAGATGAAATTTGGTTAAGAGATAGTTTGAGATCTGCGAAAGGACCCAGTATAGTTTTTAACCCAAAAATAAAGGGTGAAAGTTCCTTAACAATTTTTTCCAGGCAGAAGAAGTAAATGAAAGTAATAGAGAGAGAATAAAAGAAAAATAAGCAAAATTATAAACTTCTCGCGGGTGTCCGTACCTGCTAGTGGCTTAAAATTTTCCTTAGTTTTTCATGATGGAAGTCTTTACACTTTATTAACCACAGATAGTATCCTCAAATATACAATTTTAAAATTACCTAATATATGGGGTTTCCGCAGTTCTGACTGAAATAAGACGAGAGAAAACATTTTATTTTAGAATATGTTTGTTTTTAGTGTTAACCTGTCATCTTTGAATATTACAGTGTTTGGATCGTTTGGCTGACTGTATGGCATTTGGAGTGCTAGAACCCTGTCCAGAATGCAAACAAGGCCAGCTCATATTGGATACATTTGGATATAAGTGCACAGGTACATTAAAACACATGTTGTTAAATCATTAACATTTTTAATACCAAATATGGTGAATCAATTTAGGAAAAGTATCTTTTCTATAATTGATTGATTGTAAGTGTTAAAGAAATCTTTATGATTACGAAACCATGTTATGTTATGGCTCATATTTTTATTTACATCTATACTTACCAACAGACAGATCTGATTGAATAAGAGAACAGAGCATCAATGAACACAAAGGCACAGTTCTTGCATTTGCAAGAACTGCGCCTTTAAAGGCAGGGATAGATATTTATCTATCCCTGCCTTTGAATCTTTTATTTTTCCTGATTTCTCTATATGCATATGTTATTACAGGAAATGTCACAGAATGGACCAAGTGTTGCTTTGTTACACAAGATCCAAAACGAAAGCCGATAAGTGTGCCCAATGCTTTTAAAAAGAGCTCTGTGTTCAATAAGTTTAAGCCAAAAGTGGATGTACGGCTTTTTCACTCACTGCCACCACCACCAGTCATTGTAAATCTCAAGCAAGATCCAGAAAAACCGTAAGTATTTTTTTATTAGACATTGGTTAATTCACTATGCTCAATTCAATTAACTATTTTATCTACACCCATGCTTTAACCACTATTAAAGATTCTGAAACAGCATATTGTCTAAATTAAAATATCTAAAGTTAAAATAAAAAAACATTATAACACCAAAACGGGTGTTGTAATGGTTATTTTTCACAATATCACTTTTTCACTTTTTAAATCCCTACCATGAAAAAGGCTTGCTCATCAGACAGCCACAATGTTCACTGCTTTATGTGTGGTATTATGTAATGGTAACACTGTACTCACTCTATCCGTACTAAATGTATGAAGCCGATAGCTCTCTGACGCGTCACGAAACAACACGTCTGACAAATATAAGGTTCCAAGGCTCCACGGGTTTGAGGGTAGGGTTAGGGTAAGCAACGTTCTAGTGATACTATAATATCGCAAGTGTCTATAGGCAATGGCCGCTTACGATCAACCATATGTAGACCCCTTTCAACAACAATAACCAATATTTATCCTCAGTATCAAGAAGGACATCCCCATTCCGCCTTTAAAGAATTTACAGTTCTTTATATACGGGAAGTTAAAGTCGCCCAAGGAAGATCTGAAGCACCGCATCCTGAAGTTGGGCGGACTCGTGGTGTCTAAACTCACTGATACGATGGCCGCCGTCGTGTCCACCGCCCGCGATGTGGAACGGATGCCTGACAAGATGCTAGAGATACAGGAGAAAGATATCGAGGTATGTTTGTGCTATGTATTGGAAATGTAGGTAGGATTGTGACAAGGAATTCTGAAGTCTAAACTTACTGATCGATGGCTGCCGTTGTATCCACCGCCTGAGACGTGGAACGGATGCCTGACAAGATGCTAGAGATACAGGAGAAAGATATCGAGGCGCATAAAAAAGTAATTTTGATTAAGCAAATTAATGCCGAATCACCAATTAAACTGAAAATCCTCGCCTGGGCCCGCTTGTTTTTTTTTTTTATTATTACGAAACTTCGTTTAGAATGTTATAACTTCATAACCAATGTGCAGAAAGAAAAAAGAACGTGGAAAAATTATGATGGACCTACAAAGGGTTACTAGTCCAGTCGGAATAAACATGAGACCTATTCTAAGACACCAGCGCTTAGCCAATTTTTTCCTAGATAGTATAGACCCCCACGAATATGCCCTCCATTTGTGTAGTGTCTTGTACCCGTGTCTTGTAGCCAGGAAAATTGTTTAAACAAAAAAAACCGGTTTTTTTGAGTTTTTTTGCTTGTAAACGGGGATTTTGAAAATTTTTTTGAATCAAAGTTGTTCATTAGCTTGCCCTCTACAAAATCAGTTCTATGAAAAAATAACGTGAGATTGTTAGTTTAGCAGTAAATTGCAATTATGTCGGTTTTACGTTTACAACAATTCAACATGTTATAATAAACATTTTGATTTCTAAAGTAGTTTATAATGTGGGTAACGCCACTCCCAAGAGAGTCCTGTAAAATTTATCGACCTGTGTCGCAAACTTTAGCAACAATTCTCAATCTCCGAAAAAAAAGTACTTGCCTGTCCCGTCTTTCCCAGAAGGCGCACAGCGGGGAAAAAAATTCAGGTGATTCGATTCACCAAGAATTTTGAGGAATCGATCGAGTAGAAAAAAATCGTTAATAAAAATGTTCGCTTTTGGACGATTTAATTTTTTTTTAAAAATTGACGTAGAATATTTTTTTTTTTAAACTAATGTATTTTTCTCTCCTCACCTCGAATATACGATTGAAAATTTAAAAAATTCAGTTTATATGTACAGAAATTATTTACAAAACTATTAACTAAAATTCGATTACAAGACTGCGTTGTATTCTATATTTCTAATTAAATTAATTTCGTCCTTTTTTCTTCCGGTTCATAATCGTAATTCTCAGGGTATATTAGTATTATATATATATATTCAGAATAGTATATTCGAGTTAAGGAGAGAAAAATACATTAGTTTAAAAAAAAAAATATTCTACGTCAATTTTTAAAAAAAAATTAAATCGTCCAAAAACGAACATTTTTATTAACGATTTTGAAGTTATACTTCTTTAGGCGCGTTATGAAAAAATTATGAGAGTGAAATTTTAAGATGCGCGCGCATCACTGTAACACAAAATTTTAACACAATGAAGTTGGTCGTTACTTTTGTGTTTACCGCACATTAAGAAAATCTACCAACAAAATAGAAATAGAATCTCTATTTAGTGGGTGCTAACGACTGCATTGTGAAGGCCTATCAAAAGTATTTATTAATTTGGAACAACGGAACCAAAGCGCGATTCTTGATTGACGACCTCCGTGGCCGAGGGGTTTGTACGCCGGGTTTTAATGGTGTCGCCTACTCGAGAGGTCCCGGGTTCGAATCCCGGTGGGGGCAGATGTTTGTGTGATGAATACGAGCATTTGTACTCCAGTCGTGGATGTTAAATATGTATTTCTATATAAATATACTTATATATGTACTGTATATGTATTCTTATCCGTTACCCTAGAATCCCATAACACAAGCCTTACAGTGCTTACTTTGGGGCTAGGCTAATTGGTGTGAGTGTTGGAAATATTTATTTATCTATTATTCAGGAGACTACAGCGCCATCTCTTGACCATTGGTGTAGTAGAACCAAAAACCACATCTTTATTTTTTGTAATAAAGTAACAAAAAGTATTTATTAATCTGGAACAACGGAACCAAAGCGCGATTCAGGAGACTACAGCGCCATCTCTTGACCATTGGTGTAGTAGAACCAAAAACCACATCTTTATTTTTTGTAATAAAGTAACAATTATAGGTATTCATATTTATAAAATTTATCCACATGTGTCTAGTTTGTATATTCATATAAGTGCAAATCACATATGTTCTAATAAATTATATTCAGTAGCGATTTTAATTGAATATTTTGATTATTTATTTATTTTTTCAAATTAAAACTGAACTTTGACTTCGTCCTTTTCCAGACTTTTTATTAATTTATTGTAATTAATTATTTGCATGCAATTAAAAACTAATTTTAAACGATGCCAAAGAAGGATAACTTCTCACGCGCCTACATAAGTACACGCACCCATTTTTTTTTTCTACTCGATCGATTCCTCAAAATTCTTGGTGAATCTAATCACCTGAATTTTTTTTCCTCGCTGTGCGCCTTCTGGGAAAGACGGGACAGGCAAGTACTTTTTTTTCGGAGATTGAGAATTGTTGCTAAAGTTTGCGACACAGGTCGATAAATTTTACATGACTCTCTTGGGAGTGGCGTTACCCACATGATAAACTACTTTAGAAATCAAAATGTTTATTATAACATGTTGAATTGTTGCAAACGTAAAACCGACATAATTGCAATTTACTGCTAAACTAACAATCTCACGTTATTTTTTCATAGAACTGATTTTATAGAGGGCAAGCTAATGAACAACTTTGATTCAAAAAAATTTTCAAAATCCCTGTTTACAAGCAAAAAAACTCAAAAAAACCGGTTTTTCTTTGTTTAAACAATTTTCCTGGCTACAAAACACGGGTTCTAGCGGGGACAAATGGAGGGCATATTCGTGGGGGTCTATACTACCTAGGAAAAAATTGGCTAAGCGCTGGTGTCTTAGAATAGAAGTCGGTCCAAATTATGGCTATTCCGACTGGACTATACGTAATCTACATATTATGGTAGAGAAAGAGGATAAAAAATTATAATAAAGTACCAATTATTACCTCAGGAAAGTTAGCCCCCCACTTTTTTAATTTTATTATTATCCAGGTTGTTCTGGATTGTTCTATGTTTGTTCTACATTGTTCCAGATTTTTTTTTGAAAAAACAAAAGTTGAAGTACTATAGTCATATAGAATAAAGAATTACATAAATTTATTCAATCACAGTGATTATTAATTGTCACATAAATTGATTACATACTTGTTTATAAATATAAATTACTAAATTAACACACATAATATATATAAGAAAATATTAGCAATTTTAACTGTTGGGATCATGATAAGCCGTTGGGGAGTGCGGCTCCATCCTCGCAGAGACCAGAGCGCTGCCATCTGTGGCGGGTGCCACGGATACACATACTGCTGGCCCTGATGATCGCGATCTGGATTCTTGCGCGTAACCATCCCATTATTGAGGCGAGGGGCCGGCTCCAGCGGTCTGCTAGTGCTTCAGCAAGGTGTTTAGCGAAGCTTTTCAATATATATATATGACTATAGTAGCTTCAAATTTATGTATGACTATAGTATAGTCATAGTATATTCACTTTGGCGTGAGACAAAATGTAAACAAAGAATCTGAGGTTCTAAAACTTTTATAACATCAGAAAGTACCCACTAGTCAATGATTCCGTATAATATATGTTACCTATAAATTATTAACAACTTTAAAATTAACAGAAAAAAATAACAAAGTCAACAAATAAAACAAGGAATTAACAAAAAGGGCATTCGCCCGGATTGCGAAGGGTGCGGGTTCGAGTCCCGTCCGCTGCCTGGTCCGCGTGGTTTTTTTTTCTAGTAAAACTTTTCTTTAGATTTAAACATCTAGCTGTTGAATGCTTAAAACATACTTATATCATGTCTACTCTTAAATTTTCGTCGTATTATAATACGTCTTTATTTTGGGAATGATTGTGTTTTTAGGTCTTTTTACACGTCAACTTAAGTTGTTAAAATACTTTTATCAGCAAAATGAAAATATACAAATTTATGATGAGTATGTTAACTTTTAGGGGGATGAAAAATAGATGTTGTCCGATTCTCACATGCATATAAAATTTCACGAAAATCGGTCGAGCCGTTTCGGAGTATTTCAATTACGCACACACACGAGAATTTTATATATTAGATTAAACAAACAGGCCGACAGCTAAACAAAATGTACATGTAAATTACTGAAATACTTAGAAAAACACTTACTAAAATTATTGATAATCTATGAATTGTCTCAATATTGAATAAGATTATAAAAAAATATGTTCATTGTAAAAAATGTCGTCGTTAAGTGACGTTAAAATTTTCTTCCAAAAGGCAAGCAAAGGAATCAGTGTAGAAGCCTTGTTAAGCCACTGAGAATAAACAAACGCATGGACTAGCGAAAACGATCTATAGTAAAGGAAATGAGTGAGACAACCTAAACAGAAACCTTCCATCTCTCTCTTCAAACAAACAAAACTCATGTGACGTTTTTAAGAAGTTACAATAGAACAACCTGGATTATAATAAAATTCAAAAAGTGGAGGGCTAACTTTCCCGAGGTGCAATTACTAAAAATATGAAATAGAAAAGTATTTTTCGATCTAAATTCAGGGATAGGATTGCCGGATCCTAAAATCCCGTCACCTGCTTCTTCTTCTTCTTCTTCTTTTATGATGGCTTGCGTTGTGACTTAGCACAGCTCCGCCAATGTCAAGTGATTAGCCATTACACGTAAGGAAATGACAGTTAAAAATCAGAATTTTGGTTACCTATTTTATAAGCACTTTTACCTGTAAAGAAAAACGTCACAATTAGGACAACACAAACATAAAACAAGTAAAGCAGGGAGCTTTGTTATAATCTTAGTTTGTTAAGGGAAATAAATTTGGCCAAGAGCTTGAGGGTTGGGTAATCACATAAACATAGTAGGACTTTCATGCTTATAGGACGTGGAATAGTGGGAGGTAAAATGTCATAGAGAGTGATGTTTAATTTGGGGCAGTTAAAGAAAAGATGATCCACTGTACCATCCT